CTAAGAATTGTCCCTTGGACTGTTTATAATAGACATGTTAGAGGGAAGACTTCAAACATGAGCTAGAAACAACTACATACTTATTTTTACATTGAGTGTATTAAATCACTGTTTTCTTTTTAAAAATGAAAGACATTCCCAGTCTGTCGCCATTCTTGCCTCAACGCCCTGCACCACCACGAATGTAAATGTGGAGAAGCAAAAGCACCACTAGATGGAGTAAGAACAAAAGACATGCGTATCTCTGTAGCTCAAGGAATCCCCGCCCTCTTGAAAAAGGGATCTTAGGCCTGGCGCGGTGGTTCACACTCCCTAATCCCAGACCTTTGGGAGGCTGAAGCAGGCGGATCAACTGAGGTCAGAAGTTCGAGACCAGCCTTGCCAACATGGTGAAACCATCTCTACTAAAAATACAAACAAATTAACCGGGTATGGAGGTGTGTGCCTGCAATCCCAGCTACTAGGGAGGCTGAAAGACAATCGATTGAACCCGGGAGGAGGAGGCTGCAATGAGCCAAGATGGGGCCACTGCACTCCACCTCTGGGCAACAGAGCAGGACTGCGTCTCGAAAGAAAGAAAGGTAGAAATTTTAGATGACCTTGAGCAAAATGAGGCTTAGTGAAGCTGGGCTACTTCCTCAAGCCTCTAGTGAAAGTTCTTGGTAAAATCCTAACTAGAATTTCATTCCTTACTTTCCACAAAACCATGCTGATTCGAAAATACTTTTTCCTTAGAGAGCATTACCAGCAACCGTGGACTCTACCATTTTTTGCACTTATTTCTAATAGTGCTAAGAAATGTTATCTGCTAGACAACTCTAGAGCACCTACTTTAGGTTAATAGGTTAAAAAGCTATAAACATACATATTCATAAATTTACTGACATGACTTTGACTGACCCTTCCAATCATCAGGATTCCAGCTACCACACTAAAGGGTGTGCCTTTATATACACACCCCTGGCTGCTGTCTCTCTTGGAAACTATCCCCAGAAGAGGGATCCTAAGGAATTGAAGGTATGGATTTGGGATGGAGTTACCTTGTCCTGACGAGTGGGCAGAATGGCCCGTTTGTTTCTTTCAACCTAGAGGGCTATCAGTTTATTTTCTTAAAGAAAATCAGAGCCAAGAATCTTGTGGGAGACCGGGGGCTGGGAGGTGGAACATATTCCTCTGTACATTTCTTTTCCGTCTCTAATTATGCCTAGTGTTCCGTTATTGGAACACTAAGCTTGTGAGGGTTATTTATATCCTACTGCTCAAGGTCATTGCCAAGGTCTGATTTAAAAAAAAAAAATTTGTAACTTCCGGCATAAAGTGACGACCATTTCTTTTTCTCTCTCTCAGACAGTTTCGCTCTTGTTGCCCAGGCTAGAGTGCAATGGCACGACCGTGGCTCACCGCAACCTCTGCCTCGCGGGTTCAAGCGATTCTCCTGCCTCCGCCTCCCGAGTAGCTGGCATTACAGACATGTGTCACCACTCCCGGCTAATTTTTGTATTTTTAGTAGAGACGGGGTTTCTCCATGATGGTTAGGCTGGTCTCGAACTCCCGACCTCGGGTGATCCACTTGCCTCGGCCTCCCAAAGTGCTGAGATTACAGGCGTGAGCAACCGCGCCCGGCCAGGAACACAACTTTCAATTTTCGTTTAGATTTTCTAATTAAATATTCACTAAATGTTTAACGATCTCTCAAAAAAATCACTGCTCTCCCACACCCGATTGAGGGGACGGGTCCAGCTCTCCTTTGAGAGGGAGCAAAAACCTCAACAAAATGTGCAGAACAGGAACTAAATTGTAATACAACCATAAAAGGCAACAAAAAGCAGAAGACAGGAGAACCTACGCAGGAACCGCTCCAGGTAACGCCGGCTCACTGCCCATTCATTTTGGCCAACTTTGGAGATGCCTTCACGTCTCCTGCCAATTTGCAGCACACTGGCCCAGTCAGGTTTCGGGGGTTTACAAGTCCCCGCTGCCGGCGAGGGGTGACAGATACGCACGATGGGCATCCCCCAAGAGCAGGAAAGCGAACTGCATGTGTGAGCCGAGTTCTGGGTGCACGTCCCACAGCTCAGGGAAGCGCGCCGCGCGCGGGAACTCGCTCCGTTCCTCTTCCTGCGGCCTGAAAGGCCTGAGCCTCACCCTCGCCCCCGAGACACCCGCGGCTGACAGAGCCGAACTCTTCGCGGCGGCAATGGGCGCCTCCGGAGAAGCCCCGGGCCGACCGCGGCCTCCAGGCGGGGTTCGGGGACTGGGCAGGCTACCCGCCGCAGGTCCCCGGGAGGGGCGAACAGGCCAGCGGCTGACATTTTTTGTTTGCTCCAGAATGAACGGTAGAAGGCGGTAGGCCGAGGCTTTTCCGAACGCTGAAAGTCAGCGAGAAAAACAGCGCGCGGGGAGCAAAAGCACGGCGCCTACGCCCGTCTCAGTTAGGGTTAGAGAAAAAATGGCCGCCACCCCTCCCAGGCCCACCCTCCGCAACCCGGCGCGCTGCCCGGCGACTCGGCTTATAAAGACCGCGGTCATCGACCGCGCGGATTGGCCAAGCTAACTCTCGCGGGAGGGGGACGCGGGAAATTAAAGTTCCATTTCCGGCCATGAGGAAGGACGCCGCTCCTCCCCCACGTCGGAGAAAGGCTTTGAGTCTACTTCCTACCTTCTTTAAAGGTGAGACTAGCTAGAGGCTTCAGAGGGCCGTTTTTCTATCGTCTGCAGACCAGACGTGGTTCACCTCGACTACCTTAAAAATGGAATTCATAGGAAGGTTTTAGGGCCCAGGACACAGAACACCGATTCCCGCTTCTGATCATCACATTTTTTTTTGGAGAACTTTGTGAAAATAGATTCCCGGACAGCACTGACTAAAGCAGGATCTTGTCTCGGCTCAGTGGAATGGGTCCGAGTTCCTACCCAGCCCCTTCTCCTTAGAATGCCTTCTCCTTGCGCAGAGGAAGGCTTTTATCAAATGTAACTACTACATGATTCATCTTAAGGACTGACTCTCCCTTTTATGAGGAAAGGTGGGCTTTTCAATCATTGACTTTGCTTTGCTTTAAAGTAGTGCTGTGTTGTGATGAGGCAAAAAGAGGGGAGTAGTCCACCATAAATTGTAGCGAGATTAATTTTTTTATTATTTTTTATTTTTTTGAGATGTAGTCTCGCTCTGTCACCCTAGCCGCTGTCTCGACTCACTGCAACCTCCGCCCCCCCGGTTCAAGCCATTCTCGTGTCTCTGCCTTCTAAGTAGCTGGGATTACAGATGCCAGCCACCCGCCACCGCGCCCGGCTGGGTTTTGTGTTTTTAGTAACGACGGGGTTTCACCATGTTGCCCAGACTGGTCTCGAACTCTAGGGCCCGCTTCGACTTCCCAAAGTGCTAGGATTACCGGCGTGAGCCACTGCGCCCGGCCGCGAATTTTCATAATGGCCAGTATAGTGCAGTTTTACATACTACTGACAGGATCATCTTAAAAGTTTTACTCGTGTTCAGTTGGGTAAACTCCGTGGAGTTGTCGCTATCAGTCCTCTATCTGAAAGAAAAGTAAAATCTCTCTCTCTCTCTCTCTCCTGTCCCCTCTTTCTTTCATAGCATCTGCCAGGTTGTAAAGTTTTGCCTTTTTTTTTTAGACGAAGTCTTGCTCTTGTCGCCCGGGCTGGAGTACAATGGCACGATTTCGGCTCACTGCAACCTCTGCCTCCTGGGTTCAAGCGATTCTCCTGCCTCAGCCTCCAGGTAGCTAGGATTACAGGTGTGCGCCACCACGCCCAGCTAATTTTTGTATTTTTTGTAGAGCCGGGGTTTCACCATGTTGGCCAGGCTGGTCTCGAACTGCTCACCTGCCTCAGCGTCGCAGAGTGCTGGGATTATGGGCGTGAGCCACCGTGTCTGGCTAATTTTGTTTGTATTTTTAGTACAGATGGGGTTTCACCATCTTGACGGGGCTGGTCTTGAACTCCTGACCTCGTGATCCACCCACCTCGGCTTCCCAGAGTGCCAGGATTACAGGCGTGAGCCACCATGCCCAGCTTTGGTTGTAAAGTTTTTTAAGGACAGAATCTGACTTCTGTAATTAACACTATTGCACTTAGCACAGTACCTTACATAGAGCAGACGCTAAGTGCTTTGAGTTATGTATCAACACTACCACCATTCTCTTAGCTTCCAACATTATCTCAGACCTTTCTTTTCCCTTCATATCTAATTAGCCACCAAATCTTGTCAGTTTTTGTAATTTCTTTTTTTTTTTTTAATTCCTATTGTTCATATCTTGAGTACTAGATTTGCCACTTTATATCTGGACTAGTGACTTTCTAATTGATCACCAAATCTCCAGGGCCTTCCCCATTCAATTTATTCTCCAAACTGTTGCCACATTCATCATAACAGTTTCCTTACAGCCCCTGCTTTTAATTTCTCCCCTTTAAGTATTGGATATTTAGCACTTAAAGCCTTTTAGTCCCTGGCCTTCACTTGACCTGCTCTTGCTCTGCTCTTCACTTAATCAGTCTAAGCTCAGCATGGGAGTGCACACCTGTGGATTCAGCTACTTGGGAAGCTAAGGGTGGAGCCCAGGAGTTGGAGGATGCAGTGAACTATGATTGCAGGACTATACTCCAGCCTGGGAGACAGGGTAAGACTCTGCCTCTAAAACTAAATAAATGCATACATACATACATTAAAAATTTTAAAACAAACAAAATCAGTCTATTAAGCATGCCCTGAATATGCTTTGTTCATTCTCATCTTTAGCAACTTGTTCATTTTAGTATGCTTGCCTGGATATCTGCTTTCCATCCTAAAGCCACCCCTTCCATGATGGCATACCTCTGCTATGAAGTCTCTTTCCTCACCACAGCAACCTTCTTTCCCTAAACTTCAATAAGCTTAAATCTTATCACTCATTTGGCACATAGCATATTGTACCACAAATTGCTGTCTTCCAAAGGAAATATGAGCTCACCAATCTCAACTTATAGAAGAAACACCATAGGAAACATTATTTTAACTTGGTTCTACTCAATAGACATCTGTTCCTGAGCTTCACCATTATTATCCCCCCACCCATTATAGAAACACAACAGAAATATTGGCATCCCAATAATTGGGGTATTTTCTATTCTCCAGGAAACATATAATATCCAAAGTTTTCTGTCACATATACTCAAAACATTTTCTTCTAACCATTTTATCTGTATTTCAGAAGCATCTCTGGTGTACTATGTTGGGTCCAACTTCTTTAAATTCTGCAGCAGTGATCCACATGTCCTGGAAGGCAGACAAGGATGCAAGAATAGAACCTCCCATCCACACTGATAGTTTCCTTTCTGGAGGAGCTGTAACTTGCACAGGGGTGTTGGCAGGAGCCACCTTTGCTATATCCTTAACTAACCGCTTGTCTAAACCAGGGAAAGAGGTTGATCCCCCGGCAAGGATAATATTGGAAAAGAAGGAATTCCTCAGGCCTATATCACATTTCATTATGCTGCTGAAACATATCTTATCAATGCCAGGGGCCTCAAGGTTCATGTGACACGGAGAGAAGAGGGCCTCTGGACAAGAAAAGAGTTGGTCATGGAGCCGGAAGACCTTCCCGTCAGGTAGTTGGTAAACTTTTTCTAGACAATCAGGTTTCTTGGCCATTTCCTCTTCGTAGTTCATTGCCACATAACAGAAGGTCTCCTTGATGTCTTCAACAATCTTTCTGTCTGAAGCACTAAGCAACAAGATACCATGGTTCTTCATTAGCACCATGAGGTAGCTGGTGAGGTCAAGGCCGGCCAGACCCAGTTGCTGTACACCATGAGGCAGACAGTAACCCTCAAAGATGGGCACACTCTGGGTAATCCCAGCTCCTGAATTCAGCACAAGGCCAGTAGTGAAGCCAGCAGCAAAGAGAGCTAGCACAGCCTGGATGGACATATAGAAGGCAGGAACACCCAGATGCTCAAAAAACACTTCTGTGATCTGTTGCCGGTTGGCCAGTGGGTTCAGGGCTGGCTCAGTAACCAAGACTGGACCATCACATGGTTTCAGCTTCAGGTTATAATCATAGATATGCTTCCACATGATCTCCATGTCCTCCCATGAAGTAATGAGACCTCGCTCCACTGGGTAACTATAGGGAGAGCAATAAGATCAATTATTTTTCTAGTTTCTGTTGTCTTCGACCCTCAGTTAATCACCACGTTTATTACCAATATCCCTTTCTGGGCAATAACTGCCACAGCCTCTCACAGAAGGTAAATGTCAGCAAAAATTAGCACAGCTACCTACCTCTGCAATTTTTGTTGCTTTCCATTTTCTCTCTCCTTTGGAAGTTTGTGACTCTTAAGAAATTGAGGGCGGGGAGTGGGAGGGGAAAAAAAAAGAAAATAAAAAGAAATTGGGAAATTTCCATATTATAGTATAGTTTATGTCAATTGAAGAGAATAACCCAAGTGACAAAAGGAGCCACGAGTTAAGTAATATTCTTAAATGAATTCGTTCGATAACTTTATAGTTTGAATACATTTGTACAGCCACAGAGAGCAAAATTTTCAATTTTTGGATGTGTGGTAGCCTCAGAGATTTGTGGCCTGCGCGTCTGTAGTAACTCCAGCTGGCTGGGACTTTCTTGCTCCTGGCTTCCTTATCCTTTCTGTCCCCATAGCGCACTTCCTTTGTGCTCCTTCCCTGCCCCCCGCCAGCCTGCTGGGAGAAGGAGGTACCTGATGGACAGCGAACTTCTCCAGGCCTGGGCTTGGTCACCCACGCAGAGTTCTATCCCGCCCTGGGCCGCTGGGCTATGGCCCTTGGCGCGGCCGATAATGTTCGGGTAGATAAACTGGGGCTCCCGAGACCCAGCCAGGCCCGCCTTGATCACTCCTGAGCCGTTGTCGATCACCACCGGTAGCTGGTAGCAGTTCATGCCTCCGCTGTCGCCGCCGGCTCCTGTCTCCGGGCGGCTCTGGCTACAGGCTCTGCAGGGGCCGACTGCCTGGAACGCCGCGTCACAGAGGCGCCCGGCACCGCCCGGAGAGGCCTGAGTCTGGGGGGCGCAGCCGGGGGGGTCGGGAGGGCTCCAGGCGCTTGGGATATTTGGAAGCACCGTGCGCCTCACGGCACTGCCCGCTATTGCCTCTCGCAGGAACTGGGCCACCCCAACCCCGGGAATCCCGGAATCCCAGTATCGGGAAAACCCGACTTTCCCATCAAAAGATTCAACTCTGACACTCACAAATGCATTTCTCAAATACCCAGAAGAGCTGGCCGGACGCGGTGGCTCATGTCTGTAATCCCAGCACTTTGGGAGACTGAGGCGGGCAGATCGCGAGGTCAGCAGATCGAAACCATCCTGGCCTCGGTGAAACCTGGTCTCTACTAAAATATGAAAGATTAGCCAGCGCGCGCGCCTGTAGTTCCAGCAACTCGGAAGGCTGAGGCAGGAAAATTGCTTGAACCCGAAAGGCAGAGGTTGCAGTGAGCCGAGATCGCGCCACTGTGGAGACAGAGACTCTGTCTCAAACAAACAAAACCAGAAGAGCTATAAAAGCGGTTTTATTTTCCAAAGCCACTGAATTCTGGTTAACAGGTGGCGGTTCCGGGGAGTTCTAGAATTCGCCCTCAAGACTGGGGGAGAATGAGACTTAAGGGGGAAAGTTGTCGCAGGAAGGGAGGCAGTGTTGTGGCTTCTGAAAGGTTAAACTTCTAAAATGAGGGGGGAAATGTTGGAATTTAAATTATTTTTAAGTACTTTTATTATTGTTTCTGTACCCTGGTCAATGCTTTGTTGTGTTTTTTTCTTGTGGTTTCCCAGCAAAATATACGCAATTAAAATAGTAGTTCCTCGCTTAAAAAAAAATATTTTCGGACTATATCCTTCTGGTGTAATCTGCAAGACTCATTCCCTAGTCTTGATTTTTTAGCCTAAAGGACGTGCCTGCCTTTTTGCAGGAAAAGTGAAGTTTCTCGGGTCACATGAAATTCAAGTTTGGAAAAATTTTAAAGTAGATTGCATGTTAGTAACTGCATCGTGGTGTCTGATTCTGCATACTCCGTAAAGAATTTTGAAACAAGCAGTCAATTTAGTACCTCAGCTTGGTCTTCGAGAGCAAAAGGAGGAAATTCAAAACTAAGTTTACACGTCCTTCCACCAGAAGCTGAAAGGATGGCTTTTTCGCGGCTAAGAGCAGCACCGGGGCGGGGCTCTGCGCGTGGCTGGCCCGCCACAGTCTCCGAAAGCCCCCTGCTTAGTCCTGGACTCTGAGCAGCTCCACGTGCGAAAAAGATGTGTAATAAAACGCTTGTTTCCCAGGAGAAAAAAAAAAATGCACCCGAAAGAAGGAAAACTCCGTATTGCCTGGTTTCTACCGCGGTATCCAGGCGCTTTGAAAGAAAGTGCATGCAAATTCAAACTTTTGAAATAATTTCAGCACTGTTAAATTGGGCTTAGGTTGTTTTTCACTTTCTGGGTTTTTTTTTTCTTCTTCTTCTTTAAATAAATTACATGCATCCCACTCAATTTGGTCTTGACAGCATGACAATTGGGATATGACATACATATCAAGGTCTTTACGAACCTCCTTCCACAGGGAAGTTTCCGTAGTGTAGTGGTTATCACGTTCGCCTAACACGCGAAAGGTCCCCGGTTCGAAACCGGGCGGAAACAAGGGCTCACACTTTTCTCCCCCTTTAAAGAAAGCGTGATTTAAATATACGCTGGTCTTTAAAAAGGAATGCTCTTGACAGCCAATTGGAGAGTTTGAACTGTACATGTTTATGTTACTCTATTCGTTCACAACGTTTTTACGGAAGACTTGCCACGTGGAAGGCGTGTCATTGATAACAATTTGAGTTTCAACTGTACATTTTTATGTTACTTTATTCGTTCACCAAATGTTTTCATGGAAGACTTGCCACGTGAAAGACGTGCCCTGGGTTTTAAAAAATGAACTCGACTCACCAGCTAATACTGAAAAAATAATGTACAGCCTAGGAGAGACTAACGTGTAAAAGTGGTTAGTCCTGTCGCCTCCGGACCACTTTTGTATTATGTTACTTGGTTTTTCATCTTAAGTCGAAGTAAATAATCGAATTAAAAATCTTCTAGTCCAGACGCAGGAAAACCTTTTCCGGTATAAAGCCCACCTTCCTCTAATGTTGCGCATGCCCACTGTGCCCAGCTGCTCCGCTTTCGAGCATCCTAGACTTCTGCCACCAGGTAAGGACATCCTAGAAGCTGAGCTACAGTTGGCTGGGGCACACAGAAACCTGGGGGTGCCAAGAGTTTCCAGGTACGTAAGCGGGAAAGGGGTGCCGAGTCTCAGCTAAAAAAAATCCCCCATGGCAGAGATCCGAGTACACATGCAGCAGTTTCCAAGGTGGGGGGGCCGAGGAAGGGGAGGATGATGGGAGAAGACGAGCAGCTACAAGCCCCCGCACGCAGTGCGCAGCTGGCTTCTGGAAAGAGGCCCGCGATGCAGTGCTGCCCGGCCTCGGCGCAGAGCCCCGGCGGAGCGCCAGACGCTGACTGCCCGCACTGGAATGCTCGCGATGAGAAGACAGGTGGAGTACTGCAAGCGAGCGAGCCTTCAGCTCTCGTATCCATGACGCCTGCTGCTTTGGGGGACCCCTGGCCTGCTGGGAAGTGGGTCTCTGTGGGCCATCCTGTCCCGCCCTTGCCGGCGCCGGACCCCCACGGCCCCGGAGCCTTCCTCGCTGCCACGGGTTGACAGAGCCGGACGTGACGCTACCGTGGAAGGAAGGGAGGGGCGGAGCGTGCCGCGGTGACGTCCTCCCAAGATGGCGGAGAGAGAGTGAAGAAACTGTGTTCCGTCTTGGGTTGCTATCGGTGAGTTCCTACTTCACCCCCAGCTCCCCAGCCCCGCTCTCTCCAGATCACTGGCCATTGGAGGGCAGGCTCCTTGGAGTTCCGGCATGGGTCGGGGCGAAAGTGGAAGGCTTGGGCTGGGCAGCCCCGGCGGTGGCCTGGGCCACAACCTCTGCTGTGGGAATTCGCGGGAGTGGGAGCTGGGCAGAGGGCAGGGCGGCAGAAGCCGAGGAGGGACTGGCTTTGGTTGTCACTCTCGGAAGCCGCCTCGCGTGGAGAGAGAGAGGGGGGAGAAGGTATGGCCTCCTCGGCGCGAGTGATGGAACCTTTGACAGCAAGCCTTGGCAAGCTGCATTCCCCGCTCCCTGGGCAGCCTCCTCGCGTTTTGGAGAAACTGCACTAGGGAAGCTACAGGTTTCGATGATTTGAGAGCAATTTTTTTAAAACTCGAACTGTTCTCCCCCTATCAGCCCCAAGAGATCATGTCTTAAGTTGTTTTAAAATTTTTTTTGTAACATAAGTTTGTCTGCTGAGCTTGAAAATCTGAGGGTTCAACTGATGTAAAAGCGTCAGGTTTTGCGGTGCTTTTTTCAGGTGATAGAAGCGTTTCCATTCACCTTCATTTATTGATATGTCTAAACGTTTGTGTTAGTTGGTCAAGGTAAACAAAGATAGAAAGGCACTCATCCCTTCATTCTTAACCGTGTATGTTTGATAAAGGTTTTCAAGCGGGGGTTAGAATTGTTAAAGTTACGTCTTCTGTCCCTTCCCTTACCAGTTGCTTGGGTGAACGTTGACGAAAACTTACGGTTACTGATTTACCATTTCTTTCTGTCTTTTAGATCAAGGGTAAAATTCCATTGATACCAAAATGCAGTATTCGCACCACTGTGAGCACCTTTTAGAGAGACTGAACAAACAGCGGGAAGCAGGTTTTCTTTGTGACTGCACCATAGTGATTGGAGAATTCCAGTTTAAAGCTCATAGGAATGTGCTGGCCTCCTTTAGTGAGTATTTTGGTGCGATCTACAGAAGCACTTCTGAGAACAATGTCTTTCTTGATCAGAGTCAGGTGAAGGCTGATGGATTTCAGAAACTCTTGGAGTTTATATACACAGGAACTTTAAATCTTGACAGGTAAAGTACACATTTTATTTTCAGTTATAAAAGCTAGTCAGTACTCTTCACAGCTAAAGTAGATTTGTATTTTTCCCATTCATTCTCTGAACTCAAATTCTTCAACTATTTATGCACACAATGTTTGTTTTTATAAAGAAATCAGTATCACTGATTGGGGATAAGCAAGCAATATAGGCAGAAAGCACAGATATTAAACAGTAAGATTTTTAATGAAACAAAGCCTGTGATTTATTTCACTTATGTAAACTTGAACATCAAACGCAATGAATTTTTCTTTTTCCTTTTTCCTTTGATACGTGCTCACTCTCACCCAGGCTGGAGTGCAGTGGCGTGATCTCGGCTCGCAGCAACCTCCTCCTCCCAGATTCAAGCGATTCTCCCACCTTAGCCTCCCGAGTAGCTGGGACTACAGGCGTGGGCCACTGCACCTGCAAATTTTTTTATTTTTGGTAGAGACAGGGTTTCACCATTTTGGCCAGGCTGCAAACACTAAATAAACTCTAAGTGACTTCTAGTTTCCCATTGCTTTTTGGTCCTTAAATTCCTCTGGTCTTCTCTCTCTCTCTCATTCTCCATCCCTTACATCTTAAAGTACTTGAGTGGAGTGTAGATGGGGAAGGAAAAACCTCTGTGCTCATATAACAGTGCCGCCATTACCAACCATAAATAGTGTGCAGAACCTCTTCCTGATCTTGATTCTGGAAAATAACTTATTTGGGAAATGAATGACAGTGACTCCTGTTACCTCTATTAATCTACCAGTACTAATACTGAAGTAAGGTCAGAGATGCTAGAATGCTTCTCTAAGATGCTTACAGCTGTCACTGCATTAACAAGAAGTGGGTTTTGAGGAATCGATAATGCAGGCACTGTGCCTCCCCTGTATAATAAGCCAGGGTGATTCACATAGGCAGTGAAGTTTGGGAAACATAATTAAAGTCCCTCACAGGGGAGCAGGAGAAAATAGTAGGAAACAACTGTCATTAGACTTTTCCTCTTGCCAATCCAGAAAAGTTGGTTGCTATCTGAAGAGGCCTCTTGTCTTGATGAAAGGAATGAGGTAGGGAGGTGCCAACAGCTATTTTTGTGTTCTAGGTTTTTTAAAAGCCAGAAAATTTAACATTTAATTTTTCTGCAGTAGTTCATTGACAGCTGTGAATAGCCATTATCCATCTCTTGAAGTTCTGTAAAATTGGAGATTTTTACCTGAACATTATTCTGAATGAATTTATAAATATATTTTTCTCTTAGTTATATGCCTTTTTCAGCATTCTACTTCATTAGGTCTTTAAAATACATTGAAATATATATGCAGCTCTGTTTCAAAAAGTTTTTCTTTGATCAGAATATTGTCATGTAGCCTTGTTTCCTTACAGTTGGAATGTTAAAGAAATTCATCAGGCTGCTGACTATCTCAAAGTGGAAGAGGTGGTCACTAAATGCAAAATAAAGATGGAAGATTTTGCTTTTATTGCTAATCCTTCTTCTACAGAGATATCTAGTATTACTGGAAACATTGAATTGAATCAACAGACTTGTCTTCTTACTCTGCGAGATTATAATAATCGAGAGAAATCAGAAGTATCTACAGATTTGGTTCAGGCAAATCCTAAACAAGGAGCATTAGCAAAAAAGTCATCTCAAACAAAAAAGAAGAAGAAGCCGTTCAACTCCCCAAAAACAGGGCAGAATAAAACAGTGCAATATCCCAGTGATATTTTAGAGAATGCATCTGTTGAATTATTCCTAGGTGCAAATAAACTGTCCACACCTGTCGGAGAACAAGTTGCACAAATAAATGATAATTCAGAACTCGAATTGACATCGGTTGTGGAAAATACTTTTCCAGCACAAGATATTGTGCAAACTGTTACAGTGAAACGGAAACGTGGAAAATCACAGCCGAACTGTGCTCTGAAAGAACACTCTATGTCTAATATAGCCAGTGTCAGGAGTCCTTATGAAGTGGAGAACTCCAGAGAAGAGCTGGATCAGAGGTATTCCAAGGCCAAGCCAATGTGTAACACATGTGGGAAAGTGTTTTCAGAAGCCAGCAGCTTGAGAAGGCACATGAGAATACATAAAGGAGTCAAACCTTATGTCTGCCACTTATGTGGAAAGGCATTTACCCAGTGTAACCAGCTGAAAACCCATGTAAGAACTCATACAGGTGAGACGGGTGTGTGGGGAGATATAACTATTTTTATACTGTGACTAAAATAGTATATTTTTATAGAGAGTACTTAGCACACACTACTTGTGACCAAAATTTGGTATATTTTTCTATTCATCAAAATATTTAACAGTGTTAAACTATTGAAAATTTATTTGTAATTGTAACCCAGTGTTTAATGGCCGTTTAAGCCCTAATGCATCAACTGTTCATACCATTTTCCCTCAAAATAAGCATGTTCAATCTAACTTACCAAATATTTAACAGAGACAAAGACATTAAAACTGATAAAGAGAAAATGCAATTACAAATCAGGCCAATTTTCAGATATTGCCAGCACTTCTCATTACACACTTCTTAGACTTTGTTGACCTTTGAACATATTCATTAGAATTACACATACAGTGTTTCCTCAGCTTCTACAGGTACCTTTATTTTGCATGTCCTCTGTGTGGCAAAGTATGAGCACACACTGGTACTTTTAGATTCGTACTTTTAAAAATACTGTATGTACTTCTCTCATTGTGAATTCAGAAACACTAATTCTACTGGTGTTTTCAATGGTCTAGAAAGAGATTTTGTTAGTTTTCAGTTCTAGCAGTAACATTTTCTGAATACCAAAGCTAGTATTGTTGATGAAATCTTATATGTCTTATGAAACTGAAACACTATTTTCTTCTAAATATAAATTGTATTTACTTATTCCTTTAGGTGAGAAGCCATACAAATGTGAATTGTGTGATAAAGGATTTGCTCAGAAATGTCAGCTAGTCTTCCATAGTCGCATGCATCATGGTGAAGAAAAACCCTATAAATGTGATGTATGCAACTTACAGTTTGCAACTTCTAGCAATCTCAAGATTCATGCAAGGTAAAAATCCAGATTAGTTGTTTGATCTTTTAGTCTTTTAATTATCATAGGCTTATGAATAGACTATTACATTAGAATTCAGGACAGTAGAATTCTTAATTGTGGTTCCACCAAACGGTGTTAACACATTCAAGGAATCACAAGGAAGCCATGGTAGCTGATAGGAAATAAGCAGGCTAGGGGGAAGCTACTAGGAAATAAAGTCAGTCTGGTCCAGAAATAAGATCAGAATGGTCCAGAATGCAATTTAAGAGGATAATTCAGGCTGCTATAGGATTATAAGAGTGGAATCAGGGTAAACAGGAATCTATAGATAAAACTCAAGCAAGGGTGATGGTAGTTCAGACCAGGGTGGTAGCAGTAAAGGAAATAAGTAGTAGTAGATTCTGGATATATTTTTAAGTTAGAAATAACAGAATTTGCAGACAGATTATATATGAGGTCTGAAAGAGAGTCAAAGATTATTCTGGCAACCCCTATAAAGATGGAGTTGCCATTAACTGAGATGGAGAAGGTTTGTGGGTAGAACAGCTTAAGTGGAAGTGCAGGAATTTAGGAGTACAGTTCTGAACATGTTAAATTTGAGATTACTTACGCTTCTGAATAGAGATGTGCCATAGATAATTGGTTATCTAAGTCTGCAGTTCAGGCGACTGGTCTGAGCTGAAGATACCAGCATCAGCATATGACAGTATTTAAAGCTATAATCCCAGATAGGGTCACTAAGAGAGTGAATGTGGACAGAAGAAATCAGAAGATGGTCCTGAGGCACTCAGATTTTGTGAGTTCTGGGAGATGGTGTGAGAACCAGCAGAGGTAATAGAGGAGGAAAACCATGAAAGTGGGCTGCCCTGGAATCCCAGGTGAAGGAAGTTATTCCAGATGGGCATGATCAAATGATCAATTGTAAAATTCTGTAATAGGGAGATGAAGACTGAAAATTGACGTGGATTTAGCGAAGTGGGAAGTCAGCTGTGCTCTTAACAAAAGCATCATTAGTAGAGGCTAGTAGAGAAGAAATGGTAGTAGAATACTTTGGAGTCTCAAGGTTTTGGTAAAGGGGAGCAGAGAATAAAGAAGCAAGTAAGGTCAAAGGTCTTTTTATTAATATGGGAGACATCAGTATATTTGTATACCATAATCCAATGGAGTGAGAAGCATGGATGACAGAGGATTGGAGAAATTGCAGAAGTGATATTAAGTAGGTTCTCAGGTAAACAAATTGGAATTGATGGATTCGGATGAACTGTCATCCTCATGTTATATGAATTTTTCTCAGTGAAAGCAGGGATGTCAGCTGAGAGTGACAATGGGCGAAGAGAGGCTGATGGTTTGAAGAGAGTTTTGATGAGTCAAAGAGTGACTAGACTCATGAAAATAATTGCCTGCAGTATTAGGATCCCACTGATAACCTTATAAAGATCATGGAAAAGCTTTTTGAACTGATCTCAAAACTAATGTTTTGATAGTAGCTAAAGTATTTGTTTCTGGCATTGTTTACACTGAAACAACTACTGATTTTAAATACATAGTCTTGGCTTGTTAAGATGACATGAAATAAAATGTGTAAAAAACTTTATGAAATCTTGCTATATAGATTGACCTCCAAATTGTTTTACTTAAACTTTGTATTTATTTACTAATAGGAAGCATAGTGGAGAGAAGCCATATGTCTGTGATAGGTGTGGACAGAGATTTGCCCAAGCCAGCACACTGACCTATCATGTCCGTAGGCATACTGGAGAAAAGCCTTACGTGTGTGATACCTGTGGGAAGGCATTTGCTGTCTCTAGTTCTCTTATCACTCATTCTCGGAAACATACAGGTAAGTTTGACAGGGAGAGACTGCTTAAAATAAAGTTACAAATAAAAGAATTTGGGCCTTTACCAAAAGTAGATTGGAAACTTTATAGTTAGATATCTCTCTATACTTCTGTAAGCTATGTTTATGATTTTCACATATCTGTTAAACATAAAAGCTGACTTATTTTCTAGAGTAATGCAAGGTGGGTGAAATAAATTATGTAACTTACACATTAAAATCAGTGAGATAATTTTGATAATTATAACTTGCAATGAGATGCATTTTGTGACTTTAAAAAATCTTTTCAGCATCCTAAAGCGTCATCTCCTATGGTTAGGGTTGGGGAGTGGGTTTGGGTCAAACATTGATTTTTTTAACTTCTTAGGACCTTTCCTACACAGATTTTCTGAGATAATTCAGACGCAAAATAGCATCTGAATTGGAAGCAAACTGTGTTTTTAGGGGATTTTTTAAAAAGACTTCCCTACTTGCTTTTATTCTCCTTTATTAATGTAGTAGATAGCAAGAATAGAAATGTGAGTTTATGAATTTATATGTTCTTAATCATATAAAAATCAAATTCCTTGCCCAAATCATCTCTATTAGAAGGGACATTTGCAGGAATAAAGTTTTAATATATGAAAACTTATGAACAGTATAAAATAATGACTAATATTCATTTACTTGGATCACTGAAAATACCTCTGAAGTATAATAGAGAGGTTTTAAATAATATTTCAGAAAAGCTTACTTTAGGTTATTTGTAATTGATAAATATTATATTGGTATAGTACACCACTTCGCTATCTTTTATTTTCCATCTAGGTGAAAAACCATACATATGTGGTATTTGTGGGAAAAGTTTTATTTCCTCAGGAGAGCTCAACAAACACTTTCGATCCCATACAGGTCTGTGTTTAGGGAGAATGTATTACTTTTTGTTCTCTCTTAATTTCTTTTTATGTAAATCTTGACTTTTAAGCCATTATGGACTATATGGTATCTAGTCATACTATACCTATAGCAATATTTTATATTTACATCTGTATAAATATCAACTTATTTGCTTATCTTTTTTTTTAGTTGTTTGGAGTATGAATTAAATTTGTTAAAGAATTGTGTTGATTTTCCAAGAAATATGCCAGATAATCAATAGATTTTAAATGATTTGGATTAAATTGCACAGATATACCAAGAAATGAAAAGGAATAGGTAATATCAATATAACATCAGATTTTCTTATTAAACAGTGTTTAGTATGCAAGTTTTAGGAACAAATTTTAATTTTGACATGTTCATTGTAAAAATAGTTTGTAAATTGTATGAAGAAAATATTGAATGTAAAAATTTTTAAAACAAAGGAAAATGCCACTTTGAAAGAGTACTATTCTGACATTTTCTTTTTAAAAATTCCTCCTTATGATTCCTGCCTAGAATAGTATGAGTACTTAATTGAGATTGAGTAAGTTTTTGGTGACTTTATATTCTCATGTGCTTTAGTTTACACCATAAAGAACTGAACAGTTCTTATTTTCAAAGAAGTATAATATTGTAGCATGTTGTCAGTACGTTTAAGTATTTTCTAATTCTTTAGGTACCTGAGAACAGAAACAATGATTATTACACATACTTTCCCACAACTATATCTCTTACAGTGTCTGGCATATAATCGACACTCACTAAATATTTCATAGAAGTGCAAAAATAGGTTTTTGTTTATTTGTTTTAGTTTGCAAGTAAATTTCTTTTCATGAAAATGTTCCCTTTTTCTGAGATACAGATGTTTTGTATAAAGGAGTGACTAGGTTGTGTAGAATCTTTTGTTTCACTATATTATAACCAGGTGATTGATAATTTAAAACCAAATTTAAACACTATAATAATTTTTGCCTTGTGTTCATAAACATTGATATTTTTGTCTTAGCTAGCAACTTTTAAAATATTGAAGTTTAAACTTTTTAATTTGCTTTTCAGGAGAAAGACCATTTATCTGCGAATTATGTGGAAATTCTTACACTGATATTAAAAATTTAAAGAAGCACAAAACAAAAGTCCATTCTGGTAAATGCTTGTGTGTGTGTGTGTGTGTGTGTGTGTGTGTGTGTTTTAATATAATTTGGTGCTCATATTGGTGCTATTCCTTAAAATGTTGAGATGAGATGTACATTTAAGCAGTTTAAATTAGATGTCTATTTTGAAAAGTAGACATCTACATAGGAGGAAAGTAGCTTTTTTGCAGAAACATTCAACTGTGGATTTCTTTTCATATTGAGCCTCTTATTTAAAAAATACTTGAAACATTTCCTCCTTTTAAAACGTGACTTAGTAACAGTCCAAAGCATGAAGGAACATATAAGTAAGCTATATGTCACTGTTCCTCATACTGGAATCTGGATAACTCAGGGTTTACTATGGTTGTTATGGAAAAAAGGGGGTGTTACCAACACTAATCTAGAAATGTTTAAGAGGAAATAGGGAAACTGGTTGCCCTACATTGTTATAATATATCAAAATGGAAAGCCAGACCCCAAGGTTTGAGTCTGTTGGTTAAAATGAATCCTTGAAAAGGTTACCCTGTGCTTACCATTTTATCTGTCATTATTAGAAATGACACTAGGTCCCTCTGGTGTGTAAAGATGATAGTAAGTCTCTTAAAATAAATATAAACATCATAACTATTAAGTTAGAAACATCTGAAAACTGTAGTAAGTCATTAATTTAACCACTTGTTAAATTTCTGTAAAGTATACATAACTGTTTAGGGAATATGAAGTTGAACAAGGCATAGTTCTGGTACTCAAGAGAGCTTACAACCTGGTGTTTGAGACCAGAAACCTAAATAAATAATTACAAGGGAAAATGTAGTACCTAACACAAAAGTACTAAAGAAGATACTAAGTTTTTCTGAGGTAAGTACTAGAAAAAGCTTAATTTTAGGGAACTTGAAGGTTGGCGATTTCAAAAATGGAGATGGGAAGAGTGAATTCATGCCAAGCAGAGAACATTGTAAAGAGTCAATGGGACAAGAAGGAAACCTTGGCTAGTTGAAATGAAGATTAGCTTGGGAAGAATACACATAATTACAGTTTTAAGAAAGCAAATACGCAGTTTTGTCTACCTAACAAGGACAGTGAAACTGAAATCATGTTGATACTTTGGAGTAACAGGAGCATGTTAAAGCCATTTGAAAATTTGAAGGCAAAAGTACATCTTTCGTCAATGTGCTAATTGCTCCCTTGAGTAGAGCAGAATTTCTCACCTGAAAATATATGAAAGTACCAGACATATTCTGAACTCGCAGAATAATGTAAACTCATTAAAAGCATTCAATGAACAAATAGAGTATTTCTTATCACTATTCAGTACTTTGAGGGAGTTAGAGTATAACTTGACGTTTACTCTCAAAGAATTTCCAGTGTAGTTGAGGATTCAAGGTATATCTGAGTAGAATGGCAATAAGAGATAGACGCCACAAGGCAGCATGTGAAAATTGACAAATGTGTGGTAAAACAGCTCACCCTGTTCCATTCTTAATCAAGTCCATTTTGTTTGTTTGTTTGTTTGTTTGTTTGTTTGTTTGTTTTTGAGACGGAGTTTCGCTCTTGTTACCCAGGCTGGAGTGCAATGGCGCGATCTCGGCTCACCGCAACCTCCGCCTCCTGGGTTCAGGCAATTCTCCTGCCTCAGCCTCCTGAGTAGCTGGGATTACAGGCACGCGCCACCATGCCCAGCTAATTTTTTTGTATTTTTAGTAGAGACGGGGTTTCACCATGTTGACCGGGATGGTCTCGATCTCTTGACCTCGTGATCCACCCGCCTCGGCCTCCCAAAGTGCTGGGATTACAGGCTTGAGCCACCACGCCCGGCCTCCATTTTGTTTTTAATGGAGTTAGTGCTTGAACTTAACCTTGAGGCTCAGATTGAATTTACATAGATAATGAGGAGGGCATATCTACAAAAAAGAAACTGCTTGAGTAAATGTATGGAGGTTGGAATGTAATTTCTGGGAATGGTAAGTACATTAGTCTACCTTAGGGGTTTAGTTTTGTTTTTGAAGATAATGAAAATTTTTTTCCCTTCCATTATAGGTGCAGATAAAACTCTAGACTCCAGTGTAGAGGATCATACTTTGAGTGAACAAGATTCCATACAAAAGAGTCCTTTATCAGAAACTATGGATGTGAAACCTTCTGACATGACTTTACCATTAGCTCTTCCACTTGGGACTGAGGACCATCACATGCTTCTGCCTGTCACAGATACTCAGTCTCCTACATCAGATACATTGTTGAGGTCAACTGTGAATGGATATTCAGAACCACAGTTGATTTTTTTACAACAGTTATACTGAATGTGAGGAATATGGAATTGCTAAGATGTCATTGATAGCAAACATCTCTGGTAAGGTGCATATATTCATATTAAATTCCCATTCATTTGAGTTGTTACCATTATTTTTCATTCACTGAAGTAAAAGCACCTGATGCTGCATCACAACTGCAGTGTTTGTTTTTATTTTTGCCTTTTATGTCTATACACACAGCTTTTTAAGGAATGAATTATATAGCACCATTTTGGATGGATGAGTTTTATTTTCTTTTAAAGCTGCCTTAATTCCATTTTTATTTTGCATTTAGAATTGCCCTTCATTTACTACATCAGCCAGTTAATGTGATTCTGTTTTGACCTGTGGGATTTAAAAATTTTACTGCCCTCAGAATTTAAGCAAAATCCATGATAGTATCAGCCCAAGAATGTGTTGTTATTTGTAAGCCCCACAGAACAATACATAAACTATGGAGAAAAAATAAAATTTCATATTTCTGCTCATGAAAATTTAGTTACTGAGTAAGAATTGTGCTATTTCTCTATTAAATATATTCTGTTAGAGATACCTTTTCTAATGAAACAAAAACATATTTCTCAAAATCTAGAAAACTGCATATAAATTTTTGTTCATTTAGGACACAGTATTCTGGAGAAAACCAATGGTCAGTACTTTTGGTTTGAGTTATTTAAGATTATATTTTCAAAAGGAACTTTAAATAGGTAATTGGTGTCTTTATCTCAGCAAAGACGGTTTCAAAATTTGATTCAGTTTGTTTTATTCAGTTTCTAGAATATTAGCGATGAAAATATACTGAGTTTTGAAATATTTTGGCAAGCCTCTCTTATGCCTGTTAGGCCCTTTTTAAAAGAAATACTAAATTCCAAAAAGAATTTTCTAGATATAAACTTAATGCATACTAGAAATCACTTGACTTCTAAATTTGGTACATTTTATTGGGTAAAGAGTTAAGAAATTAACTTCAATTATAAGTAAACATTTTGAGTTAGCAGAAAGCCAGCTTATTAAATATTTTATATTTGAGTTTTCTATAAGTTTTGGGTTTGTTAATTTTATAAATTAAACCACAACTTTTGGTAGTTGTGGTAGTTTCACAATGGTCCATTTCCTTCAAAATGAATATAAAAAATTCCTTATTATCCCGATATTTGCACCACTCATCCCTGTACCACTTTTCTCACATATTAATTTATTTCACTGCCTGATCTTTGGATATGAAATTATCAGTTCCACAAAGTCAGTTTTTATAGTGCTGATCAAATACTATGGTGACATTCTTCCTTTTTCTTTTTTTTTTTTTCCCCCATAAGGCTGTTTCTCTGTGTGAGAGGATATCATTTCTTATTTCTGCTGTGGTGTGGCTTATTTGTTTTCTGCTTTTAAACCACACCTGTAGTATAGTTAGTATGTTTTTTTATTGGTATTGATTTCTTTAATTCATTAGTTTTCTTTATTTGGGACCCAAGTCATAGGAACCAATTGGAGGGTATAATAAAAGCACTTAATGCTTATAGTCTGTTGTAGTCTTCACTATTTCAGAGTACACACAGTTTGTTTTTTTTTGTTTTTTGTTTTTTGAGATGGAGCCTTGCTCTGTTGCCAGACTGGAGTGCAGTGGTGTGATCTCAGCTCACTGCAACCTCTGCCTTCTGGGTTCAAGCGATTCTCTTGCCTCAGTCTCCTGAGTAGCTGGGATTACAGGCACACACCACCACATCCAGCTAATTTTTGTATTTTTAGTAGAGACGGGGTTTCACCACGTTGGCCAGGATGGTCTGTATCTCCTGACCTTGTGATCCACCTGCCTCGGCCTCCCAAAGTGCTGGGATTACAGGTGTGAGCCACCACATCCAGCCCACACACCATATTTTCATAATAAATTGCCACTGGTGGGACTGACCTAATTGAATAGAGTTAGGAATACCACTTTTGTGTGATACAAATTTAATATTTGATTATTCATCTAAGAAATCTAACTACTCATGTGTATTAAGTTAAAATACTGGATTTAAATAAAATTTATAAAGCATTAGAATGTTCATCTACTGTCTTCTGGGTTACATTTGGTAGGAATTTATTGGAATGTGAAGAAATTAAAGAAAATTAAAAGCAGCCTCTTTAGGAAGTTTGCTAAAATAGAGAGGTTGTGTTTAATTTATATCTTCATTAATCCAAGCGTCTAATGAACAGAAAACTGCTGCAGTAATGTCATGATTCTCTAAGGGCAATAGTTGCCAAATTTCGTCTGATATAATTAGCATTTTGCCGTTGCATAGACTAGCCTTCAAATGTATTATTTATAGTATTATTTGATATGGTTGAAATGGCTAAGATTGAGCTTTTCTTGATCACATTATCTGCTTCCTAGCTAAAGTAATTTTATTTAAATTGACATGGCTTGAGTTGTCATCATCATCTGCTCTTATAGAATGATGTGTAAAGAAAATTTGAAGACAGTATCCCTTCTTTGCCATTCTTCTCTTAATGCTGTGCTATTGTTTATCATAATATGCATATGTTTAGTTGTATCTGGTATCATTCTAACACTCATAATTACCATTTTAGTTAAGTCCAACTTTAATTGTATTTGTTACAATGCAGTGTTTTGGGAAAGGTCTATTAGTAATTAGTTCAGTATTACAGATGTTTTTGAAAGTCTTTAGAAGCTGAAGATTTATTGAGAAACTATTTTCTAAATGAATTTAATTTTGTTTTATATTTGTATCAGACATGCCTATTGTATTGTTAGATTTTAGACTATTTTAAAGGAAACCATAGATTATATAAATTTTTTTTGCTGTTTTTAAATGGTATTGTTTTATGTTTAATTTCACAGGATGATTTTGATAGACAAATTTTAGAAGATCTTTTTTCAAAGGTAATGGTTCTATTAGTTCCATTGCAATAGTAGCTTATCATTTCTGTGTTTCAGTCCTACAGAAATTGTGCAAGTGAGTAGTTGAAATAATGTACATGTACTAGTTTTTTTTTTTTTTAAGTATCCTAAATAGTTCTAACATTTAATGCATATCAGAAACATGTTTAAGAAATAACAATATCCAAGCCCATTCCACCTTTTGTATCTACTGAACCAGATAGATCCTAGGGCATATATATGCTTCAAAAGCCCCACAGGTGATTTTAATGTATACCAAACATGTGAACTATCTTTTTTTCTTTTTTCTTTTTTGAGACAGACAGTCTCACTCTGTTTCCCAGGCTGGAGTGCACTGGCATGATTTCAGCTCACTGCAACCTCCACCTCTTGGGTTCAAGAAGTTCTCCTGCCTTAGCCTCCCAAGTAGCTGGGACTGCAGGCATGCACCACCACACCTGGCTAATTTTTTATATTTTTGGTAGCGATGGGGTTCACTATATTGACCAGGGTGGTCTCAACCTCCTGACCTCAGGTGATCTGTCCGCCTCGGCCTCCCAAAGCGTTGGGATTACAGGCATGAGCCACCATGCCCAGCCTTAAACATTTCTTGGTGTATTACCTTTGGGAAGCAGTTTAAAATGATGCTCTTGAATATAATTCTCAGTATTTTACCTGGAAATTTTGAGTACCTAGAACTTGACTAGAAATACCATCAAGTAAAATTATTTATATTCTCCATTTTTACTCATTTATGGACAATATTGATATGTAGTTACTACAGCATTAATTTTTGGAGATAATAATACAGTCTTCTCTTCTGTCCTCTGCAACCCCTGCCTCTATTCATTCAAAAGAGGTTTGCTGTACAGAGGCTCCTTGGCTTACAGGTTTATCATAAGTCAAGGAGTATGCTGAATATGTATTAGTTTTGTACATTGTAAAGTCAAGAAATCATAAGTCGGGGACCATCTGTATTTGTTTAAGAAATTAGATAATTACCATGTAAACACAGTATTTAATTTCAAGAAAAATTTACTAAAACACTATGGATGTGAACATCCACATATTTGGATAACAGTATCTGGCCAGTGTTTCAAATGCTGGGAAAAAATTCAAATCAGAATACATAAAGCTGCAAAGATAAAAAAGATAAACTACCCTTAAGTTTACAGTCAAGTGGAAATCCCAAGCATGAATATAACTAGCAATAAGAAAAGCCAGAATGTTGAGTGTTTTGGTAGGGAAAGGCAAGAAAGGAAATGCTCAGCAGTCAATAGGAGTAGAATGGACAGAGAAATGGTCAGTGCTTACCTGGACAGGCAAACAAGAGGAGATGGCTGATGGGACGAATTTGCACATAGCTGATGAAGAGTGAACTAGGCAGAATGGAGAGAAAGCATTAAGTAGAGAGGAGATGGAAGTCAGAGGCATGTCCAGTACTACACATGTACCATCTTGAAATAGTTTCTCTACCCATACTCTGCTGAAGGAGTGAGATTAGATAGCCAGGTTTGTAACCCGTATTCTCACATGCCAACCACAGTTGCGTGCTGGAGGGCAGGGATTAGACAGCCAGATTTCTAACACATGATTCCATATTTGTGACCACAGCAACAAGATATTTTACCAGGGAAAAACAATTCATAGGCCAGACTGAGCTGCTCAGATTCTTAAAAATTTGAGCAATGACATTCTGAGACAATCAGGTAATGATATACCTATAAATGAAAAGATCATTTAGAACTGGCCTAGAAGTCAGTGAAGCAACCTGAAGTCTAAAGGAAATGATGAATAAGCAGAGAAAGCTGATCTATAGAATAAAGCTAGGGAATGAAACAGGTTTGCGGAGCCAAGAGACTGCCCTAAGGAGATCCAAAGAGGCCTTAGTTTCTGTCTTTGCAATCCCACTGAGGTGACAGAGCCATGATCATCTTCTGCACCTGGATGCCAGTGATTGTGGTTGTTGTACCCTTATGTTAAGTCTCCTTTTTTAAAAAAACAGGCTGAATCACTTTATTTTCCTTGTAAGCAGGCAGCACCAAATTGAACACCTAGGCTTTGATCCTGGTGACTGAGAAGATGGCGATGCCATTGACATCAAGATAAGTCTTAAGGAGCACATTAGAGAAGGGAAGCAATTTCGATGTACCGAATTTGATTGGTGGTGCAATATGTATGAAAAGTCTGGTAGTGGTTGGAAATGGGGCCTGAACTAGGAGAATTTAAAGCTAGAGATACAGACCTTGCCACCAATAATTTAAATGATTAAGGCAGCCCTGGGAGATAGTATATGAGAAAAAAAGATAAGGACAGAATTTGGGGGAAAATTCATTTAAAGGATGAGCAAAGATGGAAAAGGAGATGGGAAGTTACAACAGAAAGGAAGAAAACCAAGGTGGCACAAATTTTGGGAGACAAAAGTGCCTTTTTAGCGGTCACATGGTATAGAGAATTAGAATATAAATCTGAGACAACATTGGGTTGAATAATTGGAGTACAATGATCCTTTGGAAGGCAGTTGTGGTATAACAGTGGGAGCAGAACCAGACAGATAAGGTTGGAGTAGATATTAAGAAGACATGATGAAGGAATAATACTATAGAAAAGTTTGAAAGGGAGAACTTAAGGCAGACAATCATTATTTTCTCAAGTATCTGAAAAGCACAAACTACTTTATTTTTGCTTTCAGATTTGAAACATTGTAAAATGATGAGCATAAAAGGATCTGCAGCAGTGTAAGGTGAAGCAGTCTTTGAGCTAGGTCTTAAAGGATGATTGCTAAGAGGAAAATGAAATGTACAACACATACAATATGGTTGCAGATTTGCTCATTATAATTTAGATGTGCAGAGGAAATGAGAGTTTTCCTATGGAACTTGTATGTCCTTCCTCTTGAGCCCGTGCACAATGGTAAGTCTGGAAAAAATTTACTTTTGGACTTAGCCAGTTTAAAATCTAGTCTGATATGAAGGGAATAGAATTCATAGTATCTTAAGAGATTTTAAGGTAATGCTTAATCTTTTAAGATTAAAAAATGCCGTTTTATTCCTGTCCTTTGTCTCTCTAAAATAGTGTAAGACAGTGGCATCAGGATAGATGGAATCTTTCTTGAGCTCTTCCATTCTCTGGGCATTATACTGACCTCTGTTGTAGCAGGAAGCAGCTTATAAAATAAGTAACCAAGGCTTTCCTAGTCTGATGAGAGCCCAGTTGTACTTGGTTGAACTGACTTCATCTCAGTTCTCTTGGATTTGAAAAACTGTCCGAGGCTCTATCACCTGCAACTCTGCCTCAAGCAGCAGTGTAGGTCAGGTTACAGGTTTACCATGTGCACCCCACTGTGGGCTCAAGGTAAGCCTACTTGCTTCCCCTTCAGCCATCTTCTGAATCTCTCTTTAGGGGAATATGGGAACTTGTGGGTCCCTTCCATAGCACACAGGAAGAGAGTAGCCTGGGAAAGCAAACTCTTTCCAGAATCTGGTAGACTCCTTAACTACCCAGCATGTGAAGAATACTACAAAGCAATAAAAAGGGAACAAACTATTGCTACATTAAACAACATAAATGAATCATACTAATATAATGTTGAACAAAAGAAGCCAGGCACGAGAAAGTGTTTACTGTATGCTTCCATTTATATAAAGGTCAAGAACAGGCAAAACTACTCTGTGTTGTTAGAAGTCAGGATAGTGATTGTCTATGAAAGGAGGGTGGGAGGAGCTGACAGCACTGACTTGTTGGGAAAGAGGTATGTATATGTTTATATATATTTGCCTGTTTTATGAAATTGTTATTAACACCTGTCTGTAACACCTAAATAGGATAGGTAGAATACTTTTTCAACTTCTGAACTTTGAAACCTTTGAAAGCCACTGGTAATTTGCTACTACCAATAAAACCTTTTTATTAATACTACTTAATCACTTTCAGTTAGATACCTATAATGAACTTGACTTGTATGCTATTTCACTACTTGGTTATATTTTCATTATAAAAAGAATTTTAGTCTAGTTCCTTGGCCTATTTCTCCAGGGTTAGAATTTTAGTCTCTATATTATAAAATTTCTTTAAAAAAAAAGTACTGTACTCTGGCTGGGTGTGGTGGCTCACACCTGTAGTCCCAGCACTTTGGGAGGCTGAGGCAGGTGGATCATGTGATCAGGCAAGACCATCCTGGCCAACATGGTGAAATCCCATCTCTACTAAAAATACAAAAATTAGCTGGGCATGGTGGTACATACCTGTAGTCCCAGCTACTTGAGAGGCTGAGGCAGGAGAATTGCTTGAACCAGGGAAACAGGTTGCAGTGAGCTGAGATTGTGCCACTGCACTCCAGCCTGGGCGATACAGCAAGACTCTGTCTCAAAAAAAAAAAAAAAAAAAAATTAACCACACTCAGTTTTTCATAGTGGACAGCTGTACGAAATTTAATACAGCCACTATCTTTTACACATTTGAGAAAAGTAACTTGTTTTAATTTATGAAAGAAAACAAATAGGCTATAGAATATTAATCTCTGTGAAAGTAATAAGACAAATGTATGAAAATTATTTTAGAGCTTCTTTATCATGGCTGTTGACCTACTGGAACAAGAGCAAAACCTGCATTAGATGAGGGGTCATAAGATTCTCCATAAGTTGATGTCCAATAATAATGCTTCTTAAGGCCATTGGAGACTTCTGCAAGATATACGCGTCCATCTACCACAAATGGCTCCACATCTGTATTGTCTGGTTTTAGATGACCCATTTGAATTAAATGTGAATATGCCTAGGATTTTTAAGAAAAGAAAAACCATATCATTGAGAAAAAAATGTATTCAATTTACAGTCCTAAATTTAAATATTTAAATTAGCCTTGTTAATTTGTAGTTTAAAACAAAATATTCTGAATTACATTGCTGAATTTTAATATTTTCCAGGTATTGTAGGTAGATTTTTATTCATTTAATTACACACAATGAAATTATAATGTTGCAAAACTTATTTCTAAGTTTTAATGTATTAGACATGTTTTTGTCATTTTGAATTCCTAGAGTTAATTTTCTAGACTGCCAGTTTTGTGGACCAAAGCTCCTATGGTCAAAATTTTCAAGTCCCTCATATGTTCTTAAATTGGAATAGGTAGGGGGGCTGGGTAGGAGAGCTATTGTATACATTCCCAAAAATCTGCTGATAGCTAGTTACCCATTCCTTAGAAAAATAAAGGGAATCCCAGATTTGGACATACAATTATATAGAGTTCATGATCCCCCTGAATCTAATCTGCAGATTTAGGCTAAGAGAGACAATTCCATAGTATTAGATGCTGACCTATTAATTATTTCTTTATTGTAGAATTTTCTTTATACTTTTGTTTGTTTGTTTGGTGTTTTGGTTTTTGTTGAGACAGAGTCTCACTCATGTCACCCAGGATAGAGTTCAGTGGCGCTGTCTCAGCTCACTGCAACCTCTTGCCTCCCAGATTCAAGCAATTCTCCTGCCTCAGCCTCCCAAGTAGCTGGGACTACAGGTGCACACCACCACATCCAGCTAATTTTTGCATTTTTAGTAGATGAGGTTTCATCATATTGGCCAGGATGGTCTCAATCTCTTGACCTCGTGATCTGCCCACCTCAGCCTCCCGAAGTGCTGGGATTAGAGGCATGAGCCATAATCCTTAGTATCTATGTAACAGAGTCATACAAACATGTTGAACTGTCAGTAAGGTTGCCATTATAGAGAAAGGTGGAAATTTAGACATTAAAATATTTAAAAGTCAAATTTGCTTTCTGCTTTAGCTTGTCATTCATCATTAGTTCCAGTTTCAAACTCAACTTACTCAGCTCTGGTGTGTAGAATCTAAAGGATTATGGATGTTTTTCTAAAATTAAGGGTTGGTTTTTTTGGGGGGGGATGTGACAATACTGTATGTTTTATTACTCTTTTTAGTGGTGGAATTTGAGTTAGTCCTTTTGCAAATTTTGAGAATTTTAACATCTACTTTTCCCCTTATTCTTTGTAAATGAAAACTGTTACCATGATTTCTGTTTTGAAAGTATTATCAAAGGCTGTCTGTATTTATGTGAGCAATATGCCAAATGTTTTGATAGCTTGTACTATATCTCTCCAGTTCCATATTTTGGTATAATTGTTAGGGAGCAGATCAGAAATTTTGCTACATCAAATCAATAATTATGATTTTTTTTAACCTGGGAGGAATTAGAACTGTGTCATTCAGTGATGTGTAATACTAATATATGGTATTTGATATGTTTCAATATTTCAACCACCAAACTCTCTAGTAGCTAATTTTTAGGACTTACGTTAATTATCAAAACTGTAGTGTCTCACTGTGTAACCATTTCTCAGGCACCTGTAAATACTATCTGATGTTAGAGAGATGATCCCAGAAAAAGCCTTCAGTGAAGGAAAAAACTTAAAACTTACTACACATGTAGCCTCATCAAATTTGTTTCCCCAAATGTAGATATGAGAGAATGTGAGATTTGTTTTCATTGATTGTGAAAGTGCAACAAGTCCTTCTCCCTCTATGTTGTTGCTGACTACTGACAACCTGAAACCAATAGTTCCACAAAGAAAGAATGCAAAAATTAGCAACAGCATTTATTACAAACATTTTCTTGTGTAGTCTTAGCATTATTCTTCAGTATATTTTAATGTAGTGGTAAAAATACTGCCCATTTAATTCCTAAAACCCAAGAAACTTAGTTTTCTAATTAGATCCTTAAGGTACCTGGTAGAGGTAACTACATTTTGAAAGTCTTTTGTTTTATATTATTACGTAAATGTTTGGGTGGATAGCAGATATATTTTTCTAGATAAATCCATCCAAGTATTTTATTCTTTAGTTCATTCTTATTTTTAAAAGTCTGATCATATTAAATGCTTCTGATTTTTCTATTAGAATTGAGGATAAATAACATAAGCAATACAAATTTTCTCATTAATTTGAAGGAATTGTTAATAGAATCAGTCTAATTGTAAAAAACATTATGTTTGAAAAATTGAAATGTTTACTGTAACTTAATACTATGTAAGTTTAGCAGCTCAGTTTTCAAATTTCATGATAATCTTAAAAGGTTTGAGGTTAGAATTTAAGAATTTGTTCTGTTATTTTGATTAAATATAAAACCATACTAACGCTTTAAGACTCCTGTTGTGTGAAGTAAGAGCTTCACTGAGATAGTTGGCACCTGCATTTTCTATTCTGTTAAAGGAAAGATCTATTACTTCCAGGGTAGTGTTGCTTTTCAGTACATCAGCCACATACACCATTCCATCATGAGTTATTTTATTGCTGGGAAAGAAAAAATAGTTATATTTGAAAATACAGTGTTTTTATTCATAGTGGTAAGATGCTTGAAAACTTAAACAGTACTTTCTGTTTTAGTAAAGGTTTATTTTAGTCACTTGATTTCCAAGAAAGTTAATGAAAATTCACCATAAAAATACTGCTTTCATTCTTGTTTACACAACTAAATTGCTCATTCATGTTACAAAAAGATAACAGTATAACGTAAATAAATATTAAGACTTAGGACAAATGGTTGCAGTTTCTAATCATTGGAAATAATGTCTAACAGAGTATCCCAAGTACCATGAATATTTATATAAATTAGTCCCATGATTTAACTTTGAATTATTGATGTGTAAATTATCACTTACCAGCTGACATCAAGGTAGCGCAGACTACTGTTCAGATACAGTGCATCACATAACTGTTGTATGCCACTGTTTTTCATGTCATGCTTACACATGTGTAGTGCAAGAAGACAGTGATTTTCTTTTAACATGCGGCCTACATGGACTGTGGACTCTTCCTAAAAATGGATAAAGTCTTATTTCTAAAATATAATTTTGAAGTAGTACATGTTTATTTCAAACATATGCTGTTATTTAAATTAGCTTTTTAAAAAGGTTATATTGGTCAAAACTGCATTGGTTTGGTCTATTTTAAAAATATCTTTGCCACAAATGATATCTTCTAGCTTCTCAGAAATAGGTAGCAGGCACTTGTAAAATATAGTGACTAAGGGATATAAAAGAGGCTGGTTAATTTGGTTTTTAAAAAAAAATTATCAGTCATTTCAAAAGGAAAAAAAAAAACCATTGGTCCCATCATGTATAGAGCATGTAATCCATCTTTCGAGTCTCTAAACATTTTTTGTACCTTCCATATGTTCTTGAACTTAATTCTTGATCTCTACTCTTGATGGTTTTCAGACAAAATACAAAGACATTTCTAAAGCTTGGTTTTATATTAAGAATATACTCATTAACCCTGTGATATATCTGATTCTTCCCTTTTATAATCATCTCAAATTCCTAAGAGGTTTTACTTTTGTTTTCTGATCATCAGAAGACTTGTTTGAAGTTCCATAATCTAGCTGCTTCTAGGCAAAAGATACGTAGCATCAATGAAGATTTGAATACCAGGCATTTTAAGTTTTTAACAAAATCAGAGCATATTTTCAAATGAATGGCCCAAAGTATTTTGTGATAAGAAGTGCTCTTGCGTGACTGCTGTATAATGTAGTAAGTTTTTTAGTCACTGGAAGTGCTGATGATGAACATAGATAACTATATATATGTTCTTGCTATATATAAACTACTTTGAAAAAAACTTTAAATGAAACCACATAGCAATAGCAGAAAGTACATGAGCTTTATAAAAATCAAATCTGTCAGATACCAGCTTTACTGGCTATATGGCTTTGGGCAAATATTTTCATCTTACTGAGTCACAGTTTCCATTTTAGTAAAGTAGTTGAAACTATGCTTCCCTCATACATATAAGTTAACAAAAAGAATCTAGCACAAAATAAGTGTTCCATAAGCTGACTACAAAGCATTTATTATTGTTCAATATTCTATAATTTTGTATTTGCTGAAATTGCTTTGACACTGAAAAGATATAACCAAAGGAATGCTATGTAGGATAGGATCTTTAAAAATGCAAACCAACAACTTAGGGGGGTTCCACTATTGTTCTACCTATTGCCAGGCTCAGAGGACAAACCCAGTATGTTTTTGTGTTTGGGCCTTGATTGCAGTTTTAGGCTGCAAAGCTTGAAAGCTGGACTATTCTAACTAAAGGAGGAACTATTGTCAGAAATAGTAAAGGGTTTTAGTCCCATTCACTGAGTTTGTAACTTGATTTGTCTAGAGTGGCACCTGGAATCAGTATTTTTGAAGCTCCCCAGATAATGCCAGTGAGCATTAAATGTGAAGTCTTATATCTTAACAGGTGTTTGTTATCCCATTCCTCCATGGTTATAAAACAGTAATACCCCCCCACCTTTTTTTTTTTTTTTTTTTTTTTTTTTTTTAAGACAGAGTTTGGCTCTTGTTGCCCAGGCTGGAGTGCAATGGCGTGATCTCGACTCACTGCAACCTCCTCCCCCAGGGTTCAAGCGATTCTCCTGCCTCAGCCTCCTGAGTAGCTGGGATTACAGGTTCCTGCCACCACTCCCATATAATTTCTGTATTTTTAGTAGAGACAGGGTTTCACCATGTTGGTCAGGCTGGTCTCAAACTCCCGACCTCAGGTGATCCACCCGCCTCAGCCTCCCAAAGTGCTGGGATTACAGGCATGAGCCACAGCACCCAGCCAAACCAGTAATACCCTTAAATGGAATAGATTTGCAGGTTCGTATTGGAACAGCAAAGTAGGAAAGCACAAGAGAATCCTACTCGGCAACCATTTAAGAGCAGAATAGTAATCCTGGGGATAGAGAAGGTAGTGGCTGTCCTAGAGAACAAAACAGGCTAGAACCTAGCTGGCTGTCAGAAGCGCCAGGCTGAGAGCAACAAGGGTGCTTTTAATAATAAGCATTCTCAGGTGGATTTAGGAATGACACTACTCAACATATTTTAAAAAGAGATCATGCTTATGATGTGATGATCTCCTGCATGTAAATACAGTTCCATGGAGATAAAATCAAAAATTTTTTTATTTAGCCTTCAAATCTCCTGTCATGTCCTCAATCTGAGAACCTCCCTACCACACTAAACCTCCCCTTTGATTTTGATTACCCTCCTTATGTCCCCATGGCATCCTGAGCATATCACTCTCCAGACTTGTTGAGCTCCTTCCACCTAGACAGAAAACTCATTGAAGACGTGCTATGTAATTTATTTGACTTTAATACCTCTAGCACCTAGCTAGCATTGTGTCTGGCTTAAGGTTGCATTCGTGAATGAATCATGAGTGAAGTAATTTACTGCATGGGTACTTTAAGCTGTATTTTGCTAGTCTGTTAAGTATTTTTTAAAAAGGAATCTATTTGAAGATTCTGAGGATCTTGTTGAACAGATTGGATTTATGTACATGAAACAACATGATGTAAAACCACAAAAATTCTGGTACCAAAAAGTGCAGAGATAAAGGGAGAGATCTATGTAGGAAAGAATGCAAAATACGCTTCTGTATATGAGAATACTACTTTTAAAATATTGTTAATTCTCAGTTATTCATGCTAAGGAGGAACAGTGAGGTGGATAATTTTAAACTATCTAAAGTGCTCTGGTCATTTAAAAAATTCAAAGTTTGGTTGGGCATGATAGCTCATGCCTATAATCCTAGCACTTTGGGAGATCAAGGCAGACAGATAGCTTGAGCTCAGGAGTTCAAGACCAGCCTGGGCAACATGACAAAACCCTGTCTCTGCCAAAAATGCAAAAAATTTAACTGGGCATGGTGGTGCATACCTGTGGTCCCAGCTACTCAGGAGGCTGAGGTGGGAGGATCACTCGAGCCTAGGAGGCGGAGGCTGCCGTGAGCCGAGATTATGCCACTGCACTCCAGCCTGGGTAAGAATGAGAGACCTCATCTCAAAAAAAAAAAAAAGTTCAAAGTTCAAACATTGAATTTTACTTATTTATTGAGATGGAAATGAAGTCTCACTCTGTCGCCCAGGCTGGAGTGCTGTGATGTGATCTTGGCTCACTGCAACCTCTGCTTCCTGGGTTCAAGCGATTTTCATGCCTCAGCCTCCAGAGTAGCTGGGATTACAGGCGCCTGCCACCATGCCCAGCTAATTTTTGTATTTTTAGTAGAGACGGGGTTTTGCCATGTTGGCCAGGCTGGTCTCAAACTCCTGACCTTAGGTGATGCACTTGCCTCAGCCTCCCAAAGTGCTGGGATTACAGACATGAGCCACCATCAAATTATTCTGTTCCTGTCCATCTCTGTGGCCACCACCCCAGCCAAACATTGAATTTTAAACACTGAACTTTAAAGTGCTTTGACCGTTTACTTTTCCTAATAGATATGTTTTTGTTTATACCAATAATAAAGAGAGTCTTATTTCCTAGCTGTTTACAAGTGATAGGAGAAGAAAGCTACCCAGAAGGATGTTAAGGAGCTAGAAGTCTTGAAAGTAGGAACCATGTTTTTAACTCACCTTTCTGTATCCAGCAAGCAGCTTACCTATAGATAGGATCAAGTCCAGACTTTCCAGACTGCTTTTCACATATATTTGGCTTTTATTACTCATGATTTCAAAAGCGTAATGACTCAGCCATACCAGTGTAACAAACAATAGAACAGTTCACACTGGGCTCTTATAGTCTGGCTTTTAAAACCGTCACTATTTATGCTTTCATCTTAATTTCTTTGACCCTCACAGGTTTACTCAGAACTTGAGTTTCAAGAGAAAAGATGACGTGTTTGCTGCTTAAATAAGCAATATCTAAAAGCATATTTAGTTACAAAATTCTTAACAAAGATGGATATAATTTTCCTTTAAATGTTTTTATAAATAGTAGTTTATAAAGATATAGTAAGTACATCTCTAAAAATACAATGTATTCATGTACCTTGACATAAACTTGTAGCAGTACCTTAGTTTTATTCATGCTGTTATATTAACTACCGTCACTTTGAATACATACCTGTTCACCATACAGGATAGGTCGGTTTAGGTTTATTGCCTTAATTGCTTGGTTTCGAGTTAGTACTGTAGCAATTGCTATCACACTTTGCATCCCCTAAAAACAGATAAATTTGTTAAGGAAGCTGACAAAGTATATAACAGTCTCTCTACATAAATATTTCAAGATCAGTTATCTGCATTCTCATAAAATTGTTTTTAAAATTTAAGCATTTCTTGCACTTTGAATTATAGGTTGATCAAATTCAAAAATGAACTGTTACTGGAATTTCTTAACATTTCAGTATCCATTTCCTGGGTATCTGCCTCTAGGTTTACTCCTATGCCCTCAAGCTCCTATATGGATCCCAGCTAGAGCTCATACTACTTACATAACACATAACTTTGTGCAAACATTCTTTTATATTCATACTAGTACCTTAAGTGCATGTGGTGAGAAGAGGTTAGTAATCACATTTTTCACAGATCCCATAGGCCTCCCTTGCTCTACCTGACTGGAAGGGCTTAGTCCTCCCCCACATCTGTGATGGACACTACCATACATACCCAGCTATTGTGCTGGAAACCATGGGCTTCCTCTCACTCTGCCATGCCTCTTACCTTCCCAGTTGATCAGTAAGTCTTACAGATTCTGCTGCCTCCAAAAGATGTCTCAAATTACTCTGTTCCTGTCCATCTCTGTGGTCACCACCCCAGCCCAAGTCCTCCTCACCTCTCACCTGGACTACTACAGTAACTAATTGGTCAGATGGCTTCCTCTTGCCACCCTTTAATTCTCCATAGAGAAACCAGTGATCTAAAACCACCAGATTGTTACCCCTTAGAGCCTTTGCATGATTTCCATGATTTGCTTTTATAATACAACACCCACTTCTTTCCCTTACCCATGACCCACACCCCACACAGCTTTGCCTTATCTGGCCCCCATAAGCCTCTCCACCTTGACTCTGAAGCACTCTTAACTTGGTCTGCTCAGCCATTCTGACTTCTCAGATCTTAAATATTGTCAGACTTGCTATTTCATTATTCATACACCACCCTCGTGATTTTTGCCAAATGTGAGTATGCAAAATATTTACTTAACACTGAGTATGCAAAATATTTACTTAAAACTTAACATTGTTTTTATTTATTTTTTTGAGATCAGGTCTCTCTGTCACCCAGGCTGGAATGTGGTGGCACACTCAGGGCTTATTGCAGCCTTGACCTGCTAGGCTCAAGTGATCCTCCCACGTCAGCCTCCCTAGAAGCTGGCATGCACCACCATGCTTGGCTAATTTTTGTATTTTTTGTAGAGATGGGGTTTTCCCATGTTGCCAAGGCTGGTCTCAAACTCCTGGGCTCAGACAGTGTGCCTGCCTTAGCCTCCCAAAGTGCTGGGATTACAGGCACGAGCCACCATGCCTAAACTTACTTGACACTATTTACTTAATACTTTCCCATTAAATCAACTCACTTTTTCACTTACGTTTATTTTAAAATAAAAATTTGTATCACTGCTAACTGGAAAGTCATAATCCCTTGAAATAAACAGCATCTTTAAAAATAAACATATGAGTATGAAAATTACCTCACTCTGCACCAGGAGTGCCACCCATGCCAAAGCACTATCTTTTTTTTTTTTTTTTTTTTTTTTTTTTTTTTGCCAAATAAATGGCTGCATAAGGGAAGCACTGTCTTAATGTCTGTGCATGCTGGATGCTCTGCCTGGAAGGTTGTGATATGGACATTCTTCATGACAGTTTTTACTCGTCCTTCATAATTTGTAAATATTACCTCCTCAAGTCTTAGGCAGCCATCTATAGCAGAATTACTTCTCCCCATTATCAGAGTACTGAGTCATCTTTGTATCACTTTCATCTATTTCTTTATTGGTGTTTTCCCAACTAAAATGTAAGCTTCATAAGGGCAGAGGCCATATGATTCACTTAGTATCCTTAGTAAGGATACTGTGCTAGATATTGTATCCTTAGTATCTAGCACAGTGACTAGTAGGTGGAGATGAGCAATACCATATTAATGTCTTCCCTGAACCACACTGGCTGCATCTACCACCTTAAAAAAGTTAACTCGGCCGGGCGCAGTGGCTCATGCCTGTAATCCCAGCACTTTGGGAGGCTGAGGTGGGCTGATCACGAGGTCAAGAGCTCAAGACCATCATCAAGACATGGTGAAACCCTGTCTCTACTAAAGATACAAAAATTAGCTGGGCATGGTGGTGCACACCTGTAGTCTCAGCTACTCGGGAGGCTGAGGCAGGAGAATTGCTTGAACCCAGGAGATGGAGGTTGCAGTGAGCCAAATTAGATTGTGCCATTGCACTCTAGCCCAGGCGACAGTGGGAGACTCCATCTCAAAAAAAAAAGTTAACCCTGGCCTGGCACGGGCACAGTAGCTCATGCCTGTAATCCCAGCACTTTGGGAGGCCAAGGCAGGTGGATCACCTGAAGTCAAATATTCTAAACCAGCCTAGCCAACCTCATAAAACCCCGTCTCTACCAAAAATACAAAATAAATAAATAAAAATAGCCGGGTGTGGTGGCAGGCACCTGTAATTACAGCTACTTGGGAGGCGGAGGTTGCTGTGAGCTGAGATTGCGCCACTGCACTCCAGTCTGGGGGACAAGAGTGAGACACACACACACACAAAAAAAAGTTAATCCTCAGACCTTCAGAGTCTATTACCCCAGAGAGCCTCCTGGCCCATCTCATTTTCATGTCACATTGATTATGCATTAATCTGAGGCTACACAACAGGTTCCCAAGGGTAGGCCTGAAGATTTGAAAGCACGTCAGAGAAAGTGAAGCCTGGAATTTGAAGACGCAAAAAAAGCACAAATTTTCATTATCAGGCCAGGTGAAGGCTCAAAGCAACTTTCACCTTTTTTAATAATTTTTAGAGACAGAGTCTTACCATGTTGCTCGTGCTGGAGTACACTGGCTGTTCATGGGCATGATCATAGTGCATTGTAACCTCAAACTCCTGGGCTCAAGAGATTCTCCTACCTCAGCCTCCTAAATAGCTGCAACTACAGGTATATGTCATGTCACCCAGCTTCAGAGCAGCTTTTAGCATCATCATTTTAAGTTTTTATGCTACAATATAAATAACTACTAAAAAGTACTTTTGTTTTGAGGCAGAGTCTCTGTCGCCCAGGCTGGAGTGAAGTGGCATGATCTCAGCTCACTGCAGCCTCCACCTCCCAGTTCAAGCAATTCTCCTGCCTCAGCCTCCTGAGCAACTGGGATTACAGGCCCCTGTCACCAAGGCTGGCTAATTTTTGTATTTTTAGTAGAGATAGGGTTTCACCATGTTGGCCAGGCTGGTCTCGAACTCCTGACCTCAGGTGATCCGCTTGCCTGGGCCTCCCAAAGTGCTTGGATTACAGGCAGGAGCCACTGCACCCAGCCTAAAAAGTATTTTCGAAAGTGAAAAAAAAAATTGTATGAATAAAGTAATATTTGTTTAATTAAAGTGAACATGATCTTTTTCTAAAAATTCCATACAGTTTAAGATAACCTATATAGATGGAAGTTTAGGAATATTTTTATTCCTAAACTTTTCTGTGTTATTATTTACTATAGTCCGATTTTATTAATTGTGCTATTATGTCTAATTTTTTAAATTTTTTAAATTTAAAACATTTAATTTTTTAAATTAGACATAGTACAATTAATAATTTAATTTAAATTAGACATAGTACAATTAATAAAACCAGACTATATTTATTGTACTATTGTACTATTATGTCTAATAGTACAGTTATGTCTAATAGTACAGTTAATAAAATTGGACTATAGTAAATAGTCTTTTCTCTGATATTAGACATAATAGGCAAAATTAATCATTCACAAGACTCTCATTTCACTGGTCTCTAAGACCCACTATCTGAATGATTTTCTCATAACCAATTTACTCACAAGATCACAGTCACCCAGATCTAATTTCTCTAAGGATGAATTAATTTGCAGCATTGCAGCAAAAAACATTCCACCTGTATTTTCAATTTTGTTTCCAGTCATTCTTAGGTATTTCAGAGTCTGATTCTTCTGAAAAGGAAAAAAATCAAAACATTTAATTTTTAATCCATAAAATTCTATAAATTAAATGAATTAGGAGACTGCATTACTATTTGCAGACTCCAATTTTTGTAGAGATAGAACAGGACATATTCCTTAAAGGTAACATTGACTCTCCCATAATAGATAAAAATCTAGTTTAATAGTTTAGTAGAAAGAATGCCCAAGAAACATGCCCACGCAATAACCAGTAAATAAAGCATATTTCAACAAACTTTCATTTCACTGGAAAAATCTATAAATTTATCTTAATAATAGCACTTCACTTTTAAAATTGAGGTGAAATTCACATAACAAAACTGACCATTTTTAAGTATACAATTCAGTAGCATTTAGTGCATTCACAACATTGTGCAGTCATCACCTGTAGCTAGTTCCAAAACATCTGCATCATCCCAGAAGCTGGTCCTATACCATTAACCAGTCACTCCCCATTCCTCCTATATCACTTTTAAAATAATATAATTTGATAAATATTTCACAAAGGAAATTACAGACATTTTGTCATCCTAAAGAGTAAATATTAGGACTTAAAATAGTGTAAATAATTATCTCTAAATTCAAACCCCTCTGTGATCAGGAGAAAAGGATGTCCTCTCACCACTTCTATTTAACATCGTGCTGGAGGTTCGAGCCAGGGCAATTAGCCAAGAAAAACCATACAAATTGGAAATGAAGTAAAACTCTGTAGGTGACACCATCTTGCTTAGGGAAAATTCTAAGGCACCAAAAATACCTGTTAGAAGTAATACTAAGTTCAGCAACATAGCAAGACATAAGATAAATATACAAAAATCAGCTGTACTTCCATATGCTAACAATGAACATCCTAAAATGAAATTAAGAACAACAATTCCACTTACAATAGCATCAAAAAAAAAAAATAAAATGGAACAAATTTAACAAGTGTAAGACTTTCACACTGAAAACTACAGAGCATTGCGGAAAGAAATGAAAGGCCTTAAATAATTAAATATCTCATGTTCAAGGCTTGGAAAACTTAAGATGGCAATACTCCCCAAGGTGACCTACAGATTTAATGTAAATCCTTTTAAAATCGCAGCTGCTTTCCAGGTGCAGCGGCTCACACCTGTAACCTCAGCACTTTGGGAGGCCAAGGTGGGCGGATCACCTGAGGTTCAGAGTTCAAGACCAGCCTGACCAAAGTGAAGAAACCCCATCTCTACTAAAATACAAAACTAGCCAGGCGTGGTAGCACATTCCTGTAATCCCAGCTACTGGGGAGTCTGAGGCAGGAAAGTCACTTGAACACAGGAAGCAGAGGTTGTAGTGAGCAGAGACTGTGCCATTGCACTCCAGCCTGGGCAACAAGAATGAAACTCTATCTCAAAATAAAATAAATCCCAGCTGCTTTTCTTGCAGAAATTGATTAACTGACCTAAAATTCATATGGAATGCAAGGGACACAGAAGAGCCAACACAATCCTGAAAAAAGAACAAGGACACACTTCTTGATTTAAAAACCTACCACAAAGCTATAGTAATCAAGATAGTGTGGTAGTGGCATAAGGATAGACATATAGATTAAAAGAACAGAATTGAGAGTACAGAAATAAACTCCCATATTTATGATCAACTGATTTTTGGACCAAGCTGTCAAGACAATTAAATGGGAGAAAGATAGTCTTTTAACAAATGGTGTTAGGACAAGTGGATATACACATGCAAAAGAATAAAATTGGGACTCATACCATATACAAAAATTAAAATGAATCAAAGAATTAAATGAAAGAGCTAAAACTGTAAAACTCTTTTAAAAACATAAATCTTTAAAAAACATTAAGCCAATCACAAAAGGCCATATATGGTATGATTGTGTATAAATGAAATGTTCATAAGAGGCAAATATATAGAGAGATGAAGTAGGTTATGACTGCCAGGGGCTGGTGAGTGGGGGGTAGAAAAGATGGAGAAGGATTGCTAATGAGTTTAGGGCTTTTCTTTTTGGGGTGATAAAAATGTTCTAAAAACAGAGATAGTAGTGATTCTTGCACAGCTCTATGAATATATTAATACTTAAAAAAACCACTGAACTGAAGACTTTCAAAGGGTAAATTTTACATATGTGGATGAAATCTTAGTAAAACTATGACTTCAAAAATGTTCATGTAATGTATACACTTTAATAAAGTATAATAAAAATATATATTCCTATATTAAAATAAGTTCACTCCAACATTGGACTCTGTTGGTTCCATGCTATCAGAAGTTGAAATTTCCAAATAAAACGTTAGTTTGAAGTACATAAATGCTTACATGTAGTGCTTTAGCAATCAATTCTCCACCTTCAGGCCCAATATCATTAAACATGAGGTTTAAGTAAGTGAGATAAAGTTGTTTCTATAAGAGAAAAGAAGCTATTACACATTATTATTGGAAATTGGTTAATTTTACATACATACATGTATATACATACATACAGTATATAAAGTTGGTTAATTTTACATACATGTATATACATACACACATACAGTATATAAAGTATTTACCTAAAAAGAAAATCTATAACCAAGAAAAACTGTATCCTAGCAAAAACAACTACCATTAAGGGGAAAAAAAATCATTCTCGTGTAAACAAAATATAATTACAATGTAAATGAAAGGAAAAAACATATTTTGTTGTGATCAGTCTGAAAGGTGGATATAGTTTATATATTTAATCATGGTGTACAAGTTTGCTAAAGGTAACTCAGGAGCTCTAGCTACCAGCTTCATTTAGACTAAATCCACAGTGGGTTTCCAGTGTATTTCAAGTGTTCCAGCACAGAGTCGGGATCCTTGATATTGGGTAAAACTAGTATTTTGTGTGTGTTATCAGACTAATTGGTTTCACTGTAAACAGAACTAAGGACATTTTGTAGTAAAATAATACCTGAAGCAGTTTCGCAGCGTAGTATGCACCAACATCACTTATAAGGTTATATCCAACATCCAAACCTGAAGCACAGATGAATAGAAGCTGATATTCCTTATAAAGAATGCTTAAAATCAGATCAATGAAAAGCAGGAGGTACTGATTCTTATGGAAACATACCATTAATATACAGACAATTCTTTAAAATTCTGGAAAGAATCCAAAAATCTTCACTTGTAACTCTTTCTACTGACACTAAGCGATTGTTACCAGCAATGTTTAATGTGATTCCTCCTTCTAGTCTGTTAAAATAAAATAAAATAAAATAAAATAAAATAAAGATTTTGAAATAGAAATCCAGTAAAGAAGTAAAAATATGTTTCCTTCCTGTGTAAATAGTCATATCACAGGTAATATTTACTGGAAGCAAGCATATAGTAAGTAGACTTCTAAGTATATATTTATACCAGGTAACTTAAAACTACTTAACATTCTGCAGATTGCAAAGTGCTTTAAAAGATACCATATAATTTATCTCTCTCTCACACACACACAGTATCCCCACTTTATAGATAACAACATTGAAAACTTCAATGATTTGCTTAGATTCACCCAGCTCAGGCCAGGTGCAGTGGCTCATGCCTGTAATCCCGGCACTTTGGGAGGCCAAGGAGGGCAAATTACTGAGGTCAGGAGTTCAAGACCAGCCTGGCCAACATGGTGAAACCTTGTCTAATAAAAATATAAAAATTAGCTGGGCGTGGTGGCAGGTGCCTATAATCCCAGCTACTTTGGAGGCTGAGGCAGGATAATTGCTTGAACCCAGGAGGCGGAGGTTGCAGTGAGCCGAGATCGCACCACTGTACTCCAGCCTGGGCAACAGAGCAAGACTCCATCTCACACACACAAAAAAAAGATTCACCCAGCTCACAGGAGTTAAAGATCAGTCTGGAGCCCAAGATTGGATACTCCTGCTCTAGTGCTCTTTTCTAACTACTGTACCACCTTAAGACCTACTAACAGTGTTGCCCATCTACTTACTTACCTAAATCAAAAGATACATCCATTTTACCAAGCATTTTCAAATGGCTATAAAATCACTCAATATTTTAAGATTTTCATACACATGAATATAAGCAAACACTATTGATGTAATCAAGTATTTGTCTTTCTTACCCCTTTTTAATTTCTTCATCCAGTTCTTGGAGTATATGCAATATAAAAGGATTAATTTTCTGGGATTTTTCCATACACAGATTAGAATACTGTTCCTGAAGATCAGATTCTGGAGATTTTGAAAAATAAATGCATCCTTCATCACATAAACATTATTCTAGAAGCTTTTTGTTTAAAAAAAAGACATAAAAACTATACTTCTTTCAAAGATATGAGGTGTGTGTGTGTGCAGTAGGGGTAGAGAAGAAAAGGAAACAAGGATAGAAAAAGAGAAGAGAAATAAAAATAATGAATGCTAGAGAGAATTAAAATGCTGTTTGGAGAACTAGGGCCATGGAAGCACCCATGAGGCTTGGCAGACACTGACTCAAGTGAGCACCCTAACTTGGAAGGGACATAAAGGGAAAACTAAGCTCCATTATGTGCCAGGCCGGGTAGCTGAGGAAAATGACTTCTAAAGAAATTGTAGATTTTATCCAAAACCATGCAGCTAATAAGGGCAGAGTGCAGAAGCAAACTGATTCTAAAACCTCTTTCCACTGTGCCCTATTGGATTGCAGTGACTCAAGGTTACTTTCTTTTTTTTTTTTTTTTTTTTTTTTCCTCCACCTCAGCATCTCAACATCCACCAGAGAAAAAGGTTTCTTAAACTAGCTTCATATAAAAACAATTTTATCCAAGAACCTAACTCAAAAGGGATCTGAAAAATCACCTACTCCCACAGGCTTCTTGGGTACCCTCTACACCATCCCAAGTTTGAATATAACTCAGTTCTTCTTCATACCAAATCGAGGCCTGGCTCACAGAAGCTCTTCTCCTACCCAGTCTACCATTTCCTCTTTGTAAAGGCGACTTTTCCCTAAGTTCTTAAAAAGATAGAAATAAAGCAAGAGTTGAGATCTCCTTTCTGTTGTACATGTAGCTTTCTTTATGGCCTTACTCTTTTCAATAATACCTTAAAAGCATCTTCTACAAGGCCTACATCTTCTGGGGTGGAAGATATGCTGTTCCTTTTCTTAGAAGTACAGGTCATTGTCTGTCTTTGTTTTTGTGTAGAAATACACTGTCTGTACTTCTACCTTTTGTGGATGTCTTTTTAAAATTTGTGCACAGAGACCTCATTGCTCAACCAGCCTAGCTTTTTAGGGGCTGGCGTTTCTTCTAAGTCTCTACATTTCAGAAATGTCGTTTACTGAGAGACATTTTTTGCACTCTGAAGAACAGTTTGCTAAACACATCTGCAGAACAAGATTTAACATGAGGAGCATTATATTTCAGATGGCAAACAAAATTTTCTTATAGTTTTTAATAACCTTTTTAAAAATTAACATACTTATTCCAGACAATTTGGAAAATTCTTCCTTTCTTTCTTTCTTTTTTTTTTTAAATAGGGTCTCGCTGTCACCCTGCCCAGGCTGGAGAGCAGGGGTGCAATCTTGGCTAACTGCAACCTGTCTCTTGGGTTCAAGCAATTCTCCTGCCTCAACCTCCCGAGTAGCTGGGACTACAGGCACACACCACCACACCTGGCTATAAAGATGGGGTTTCACCATGTTGGCCAGGCTGGTCTTGAACTTCTGACCTCAGGCGATCAGCCTGCCTCAGCCTCCCAAAGTGCTGGTGTTAGAGGTGAGCCACTGTGACTGGCCAGAGATTTCTAATATTAAAAAAAATACACATGTTAATCTGCAATCCCACTGCCAAAGAACAACCACAATTGAGGTCTAGGCATACATAATTCCTATAGTTTTTCTTTTATACGCATATGGAGTATTTTTTAAACAAAATTGAAATCTTTGGATATAATTTTATTTGCTGTTTTTTTCAATTAACATTACATTGTAAACAGTTTTACCATGTCACCGTTCTCTGAAAATTTTAAATGTCAGCATAATTTCTGACATGTGGATGGATGTACATAATGAAAAACTTCACCTATTATATTTTAGAAAGTTTTCATGTATTTAAATGATATTGTAGCACAATATTGCCTAAATTGTATTTTGTGGAATATTCACATTCTACAGGATGATCAAAGGTGTTCCAAATAGAATAGGAACACCTTTTATTATCAAGTAATTTTGAGAGGTGCTGAAATAAACAAAACTGTACACAGACACAATACTACTCAGGATATTTAAAACATGTTAACTGTCTTCAAACTGTTAAACTTTGAAAATAGGAAGGATAAGAATGCTGCATTTCCGGCCGGGTTCAGTGGCTCACGCCTGTAATTCCAACCCTTTGGGAAGCCGAGGCGAGTGGATCACTTGAGGCCAGGAGTTCGAGACCAGCCTGGCCAACGTATTGAAACCCTAGCTCTACCAAAAAATACAAAAATTAGCTGGTGTAGTGGCGGGTGCCTGTAGTCCCAGCTACTTGGGAGGCTGAGGCGAAAGAATCACCTGAACATGGGAGGTGGAGGTTGCAGTGAGTGGAGATGGTGCCGCTGCACTCCAGCCTTGGCTACAGAGTGAGACGCCATCTCAAAAAAAAAAAAAAAAAAAAAAAAGTCTCACTTGGAATGCAATTTAGAAAATGCTGCTTTAGTGTCCTCCCCAGGAAACAAAGCAAGTAGATCACAAATAGAAGTTGGAGCTACGCTCCCACTGGGCTTCCTTCTTCGCTGCTTTCTTCCTTGGTATTAAAATAAAGATTGCCCTGAGACTCTCCAAGATTCAGCACTGCCCGCAACACAAGCAAGGCACAGAATTCATTTCCAGGAGGGCTTGAAGGAATCGACTACAAGCTAAATACAGCTCAACAAAGTTATGGGGATAATATTTAGCTAGCCATAGATTTACAGTATTTAAAAGCTTCTGCTACTCTTCCTTTGATTTAAAATTGACCTATGTATTTTGCATGGCAAGATTTTATGGCACCAATTTATTTCCTATACTGTAATCCTATTAGAAGGAAAATAGTTTTCAAATTGCAAAGCAAAAACTAGGAAATAAGCCGGCTACACAGGAAAATGTCAAGAATCTAACCCAAATTTCATTTTTTTCATCCATGCCTCTGGCAGCACACTTTGCAATTTCCAGAGAAAGGACTTATTTGGGAGGCACTTCCCTCCAAAACATGCTTTTCTATACTTAGCCAAGCACTGAGAAATCCAAGCGATGAGCACGAGTCAGACGTGGGTGCCCTATCCAGATTCCGCAGTGTGTACATTTGAACGGGTTGTTATCCTAGCTTAAATTTCCTCTCACGCTAAAGGCAGAGCCTAACACTGCCCATCTCCTGGGTGCAGGGCGTATTAGTAAGCCAGCCTCCGGACACAGTTCCGTATCCACAAACATACCTTACAACAAGCATACAAAACGGAAATGGCGGGTAGCGGGTGGGCGTTCAGGGTATGCTTAACTTGCCAACGATCCCTCATGGGCGCAGAAACATTTAAAACTGAGGTAGTAGAGAGGTGAAAAGTCAGAATGGTATCAAGACCCTCATGTCCACCTGTGACCTGCTCTCTGGGACTTTCACAAAAAGGGGGCTGAGAAGAGCCCCCCCCCCTCCCAGACACACCCTCGCGGAGACCCTGAGAGCACAGCGGCGGACAGCTTCAGCCGCACCACCTGTCGCGCAAAGGGCGGCCCCTCGCGGCGGCTGGGGACCCCTCTACCGCCCTCTTTTCTGGGCGCTCCAAACCTCTGGCCACAGCTGGGGTTCCCAGAGGCACCCTCCCGCCGAGTCGCCTTGGGTGGCAGCCTGCCGGGAGGACTCTGGCGTGCGACCCCCGCGCCCCTCACGCGTTTCGTCTGGGCCATGCCACGCAGACGGGCTCCCTACTTCTTACCGCGCTGGCCCACCAGGGCCGAGCCCGGAGAGCGAGCCTGAATGGAGGCCGGAGCCGGGGCCGGAGCAGAGGGACTGGCCGGCTCCCTGGCGGTCTCCCGGGGGCTCCCCATGCTCCTTCTACCACAGGCCGCGGCGGCTGCGCTACCATGGCGACCGCGCGCGCGCGCGCGCTTACAGCCCGCCTGCGGCAGTGAGGCGGCGATAAGAGCCCCGGCGCCAGGCCAGCGCTGAGTCCCGCCCGCTGGGCCTGCCCGGGCCCTGGGGCCTGACTGCTGTGGACGTCCTCCGTCACCCTGCCCTGGTTAAAGGCAGCCTGAGGGAGGGCGCCCTGGCTCCTCGGCAGGGAGGACTTCCCGAGGTTTGAGGGGCTCCGCTGCTGAGCTAGGAACTGGGGCGACAAAGAAGATTATGACAAAGCCTCCTCCTGCAAAGTGTGCGGCGGCCTGCGGAGCCAGCGCAGAAGCAGACAGCAGCATCCGCACCTGACAGGGACGTAGGGCTTTGGGAACATAAAGGGTGTTGTGCTCCCAAAGGGCGGGGTCCCCAGGGAGGGCTTCTTGAAAGAGGTGAAGTCTGGACGGTCCGAGTGAGGCTGCCGGAGGGCAGAAAAGCTTGGTGCGTTCTGGGCATGTGCAGGTACTTGAACTTATCCAGATCGGTTAAAGAGAGCGGGGAAGCGGGCAGGGCCAGATCCACCTGCGTTACGCATAGCCCAGGGGTTCCATCTAGATCCTGCTGCTCCTGGCACAGAATGCCAATCACTGAAACAATGAGAATTACCAGGGAAGAAGGCTTTAATCTGGTGCTGCAGCTGAGGAGATGGGAAATCAGTCTCAAACCTATCCCCGCAACCAACTAGAATCAGGGATTTACACAGCAAGAAAGAAATGTGACTACATGCAGGAAATCAGAAATTAGGGAGGGGTAGGGAAGAGGCGTTGGTCAGCAGCAATCAGGTGGTCGCTTAGGCAATCATGATGCACCCATCATGACTGATGGTGTCTCGCTGTCCAGATGTGATGATCTGGTAAGTTTCATTTCCTTGATAGTGGGAAAAGTTTCCTTCTCCCCCTTACAGGGCGTGCGATGGTGAGGCAGGAAAATAGGATCTGGAGCAGGGAACATAAAACCGATTTACAATTCGGCTGTAACAGGAAATATCCTCTCCATAGGGCATACACATAAATGATTTTGTAACTTTACTTCACCCTCCCCATTTGCGTGGGGTGTACTGGAAGTAACCAATGGAAGCCTCTAGGTGATCTTTAAACTTCCAAAAATTCTGTAACGGGGCGTTCGTGTCCCTATGATTTGGCCTGCTCCCACACTGTGGAGTGTACTTTCATTTTCACTAATCCCTTCATTTCTTCCTTGCTTTGTGAGTTTTGTCCAATTCTTTGTTCAAGACGCCAAGAACCTGGACACCTTCTACAGGTAACAATGGGGGTGTAGCTTGCTTCTTCGGTGCCCCTCTGCTCAAACCTCTAAGGGGAGCATGCAGACGGGCAGGTTGTGGGGCACTTGAGTTCCGAACCCATGGCAGTGTCTAGGGGATGAATGCTTACAGCTCCTGAAGCCCCAATGGGCTACTTTTTCTCTTTTCTCTGTCTCTCCCCACCTCCCCCACATTTTTTTTTTTTTTTTTTTTTTTTTTTTTTTTTTGAGATGGAGTCTCACTCTGTCACCCAGGCTGGAGTGCAGTTGCCTGATCTTGGTTCACTGCAACCTCCACCTCCCAGGTTCAAGCAATTCCTGAGTAGCTAGGATTACAGGCATACACCACCATGCCCGGCTAATTTTTGTATTTTTAGTAGAGATGAAGTTTCACCAGGTTGGCTAGGCTGGTCTTAAAACTCCTGACCTTGTTGATCCACCTGCCCTGGTCTCCCAAAGTGCTGGAATTACAGACATGAGCCACTGCGCCCAGCCTACATTTTTTTTTCTTTTCTTTTCTCTCTCTCTTTTTTTTTTTTTTTTTTTTTTTTTTTTTTTTGGGACGTTTGCTCTGTCACCCAGGCTGGAGTACAGTGGCATGATCTTGGCTCACTACAACCTCTGCCTTTTGGGTTCAAGCGATTCTCCTGCCTCTGCCTCCTGAGTAGCTGGAATTAGCCACCACTCCCGGCTAATTTTTGTATTTTTAGTAGAGACGGGGTTTCACCATGTTGGCCAAGCTGATCTTGAACTCCTGAACTCAGGTGATCCACTTACCTCAACCTCCCAAAGTGCTGGAATTACAGGCATGAGTCACCACTCCCGGCCTTCTACTAACTTTGAGGTTTGATTTGCTCTTACTTTTCTAGTTCTTTAAGATGCATCATTATATTGTTTATTTGAAGTTTTCCTGCTTTTTTGATGTAGGCACTTAACTGCTATAAACATTTCTCTTAGTTCTGCTTTCACTGTATCCCATAGGTTTTGGTATGCGGTGTTTCCATTTTAATTTGTTTCAAGAAATTTTTAAATTTTCTTAATTTTTTCATTGACCCAGCTCATTCAGGAACATGTTGTTTAATTTCCATGTGTTTGTATGATTTCCAAATTTCATCTTGTTATTGCTTTCTAGTTTTATTCCACTGTGTTCACAGAAGATACTTAATATGATTTCAATGTTTTTGAAATTTTTAAGACTTGTTTTGTGACTGAACATATAGTCTACCCTTGAGAAGATCCATGTGCTGAGGAAAAGAATGTGTATTCTGCAGCTGTTGGATGAAATGTTCTGTAAATATCTAGGTCCATTTGGTCTATAGTGCAGATTAAGTCAAATGCCTCTGTTAATGTTCTGTCAATCTGTTGGATGCTGAAAGTGAGGTGTTGAAATCAATAGCAGTTATTGTACTGGGGTCTATCTCTAACTGTAGTAATATTTGCTTTATATAACTAGGTGCTCCAGTGTTGGGTGAATATATAATTGTTATATCCTCTTGCTGAATGAACCCATTTATCATTATATAATGAACTTTTTGTCTCTTTTTATAGTTTTTGTCTTGAAATATATTTTGTCTGATATATGTATAGCTACTCCTCCTCTTTTGGGTTTTCCATTTGGATGGAGTATCTTTTCCCACTCCTTTATTTTCAGTATATGTGTCTCTTTATAGGTGGAATATATTTCTTGTAGACCACTGATTGATCGTTGGGTCTTGTTTTTTAAAATCCATTTAGCACCTCAAGTGCAATTCCTCAGAGCCCAGCACAGCATCAAGATTTGCCCAGGAATTGCAGTCCTTGTGACCTAGACTGTCTTCCAAGTTTATTTAGAACCCCAGAGCACTTTATCCCACAGTGGTGGGGCCAGCCAGAACTCAGGTTCCACCCACTGGCATGGATGATTCCCCTCTGGCTAGGGCTTGTCTAAATGCTCCCTCCATGAGCACCACCTGAATTCTACCCCGTGTTGCTTTCCACTGTGACAGGGAGCACTGTGTTCCATTGCAAAGTCCCACAATCACTTTCCCAAAGCACACATAGTCTCTCTCTGTGCCACATGGCTGCTGCTGGGGGATGAAGGAAGGATGGTTCCGACAATCCAAGACTGTCTTTCCTACCCTCTTCACTGCCTCTTTCTTTACTATAATGTCAAAACCAGGTACTGTGATTGCACACCTGATTTTTGGTTCTTATGAAGGTGCTTTCTCGTGTGAATAGGTGTTCAATTTGGTGTTCCTGTTGGAGGGGATGATTACTAGAGGGTTCTAATCAGCCATCTTGCTCTGCCTCCAGTAATTTTTTTTTTTTTAACAAGATCTGTTTGTACAGAATTATCTCAGCTATGACTCCCTGTTTGTTTCTGGTGTAGGGAGGGCATGTTTCACATGGGAGTTTTTATCTCCTATTTTCAAGGAGGGAAAGGGAAGGTGAGAATATGCTTCTTGCATCTGCCATTTTTTAAGTGTCTTTAGCTTAAAGTAATCCTCATACCAAAGTGGCATATTTTGGGGTGGCATATTCTGCTACTCTTTATTACCACTACATGAATGTCCAGTCTGAGGTCAATTGAGGCTACTTTTAGTTTGTTTGTGATTAATTGGTTGTTAGAGGGAAAAGATCTGCTGAGTGAAGTTTTAAGTGAAATCTTGAAATTCTTTAACTAGAAATGGGTTTTTATGCTAGCTGAGAGAGTCACACACCCTATGAACCTCAGGAACCTAGTCTTACTTATCTAGTCAGACTTGGAAAAAAAAAGTACCAACACTAACTGTAAATTTGCAGGGCTGATCAGTTTCCTAAATGATTTTCTCAGGCATTAGAGTTACACAAAGAAAAGCCCATTGTGAAACTATCCAAATCTTGACTCTTGCAGATGAAGATGTAACAATTATTCAATTTAGAAACCACCCCACCATAATATTGGATTGTAATAAGTTAATTTGATCACATTTAGGTAGCAATCCGTAGGGAAAAAAAATGGCCATTAAAGATCCAAGCTTCCCCATTCTCATTTACTGTGGCTGAATTATTGGCAAAGCTATTGCAAATCTGGGCTATACAATCTCCTTTTATTAAATCCACAAATGAACGTGAAATATGGGTGGATATATAGCTTCCAGAGGGCTGTCAAATTGATGGGATATATGATTAAGGTGAGATAACACACGCACAATCAGATATTCTAAACAGGTCTTGATGGAGAAAGATGAATGTTAGGATAAATAAGTTCTTTCATGTGTTTGGAAGCCCAGGCACCCTTCTATTAATTCTAATTGTGGTGGCTAATCCACATAAATTTCCCCCAGGTGTCTTTGTTGTAACGCTGCAAAATAAAATCAAGTGTAAATCTCACACCCAGGAAGAATAATTTTAATAAATGCCAGGTTTTCGGTAAACAAGTGATGTTAAAAATCTAAGTGAGATTGTGTCCAATTCTCTGCTCCTACTCCCACTTCCTACCATGTGCTGAGAAGAGCCCTTTTAGTTACATAATTTCTTCATCTGTAAAACAGGGCTAATATTGATGCCTCCTACATAGGATTATTGTGAAGATTAAATAGGTTATTTTAAGTAAAGCCTGGAGTATGTAATCGGTGTTCTAGGTGTTCCCTGTTTTTATTTGTTCTATTGCCTCAGTCTAGATACTGTGGAGAATTTTCAGAAATTTGCAAGCAGGAAACTGGAGATTTTGTCTTACAGGACTGAACAGTATTA